TATTTATCAACATGTCAGAAAAGTTCTAGAGCTATTAATTGTCCTTTTTTTGATGCTTTCGTAGGTGTAAGTTACCAGCAAAGTTAGGTTAAAGAACAAGCCTGCCACATACAAAATTATTCCTATCAACTCCTTTAAAATGTGGTAAACACAACCTAGATATCTGGGAGAAGAAATCATTAAACAAAGTACAGTCAGTTCCAACTAGCAGTGGTTCTCTATTTCCAAGCCTCATTAACTGAAAAACTTTCAGTCTCAGATGCCAGAAATTAAATTGATATTAACATTCTATTTCTAGTATTAAAATGTACTTTTCATCAAAGAATTATTAGTTAAAATTACAATCCTAAAACATTAGAATTGGAAATTAAATATCTTGGTCTTGGTTAGCTCTTTTTATGTAGGAAAAAAATGTAATTTGCAATCATGTGAAATTACTGAGAATACAAAATCACCAATATGATTTTCAACAATGTATCAGAAAAGGCAACATACTTTTTTTAATGGACAAAAATAATATCAATGTGTTTGGTGGGACTTATTCCCCAAAAAGCTTGCATAAACAATTATGGGTATCATTAAATTAAGTTCTTCTAAAGTGCTGTTTAAGTAAGTTATTCCTCTATTTTCTTTTCCTGTAGTGGGCATTTGGTGTTACAATGTGGGAGATAGCAACTCGAGGAATGACTCCATACCCAGGAGTGCAGAACCATGAAATCTATGATTACCTACTTCATGGGCATAGACTAAAGCAGCCAGAGGGTTGTTTAGATGATTTGTAAGTATTTTATAATTGTGATAATATCAAAGCATAATTGTGGCAATTGAATACATGGCTTACTTATGGCAATTATTATATTTGCAGCTTGGAAGTCTGGAAACCAAGTGTTCTCAGGCCAACCTTTCTAGAGCATTCAACAAATGGGACATCAAACTCTTCCTCCCATAGTTGCCTGCTTTGTCTCATCTGGCAATAATACCAGGCTTATGACTGTAAGGTTAATAGGCTGATATTCGGACAGCCATTTGTCCGAAATGGCATAGGATTACCTGCCTGAGCAGGGGGTTGGACTTGATGACCTCCAAGGTCCCTTCCAACTTTATTATTATTATATGGGAAGAGATGCCTCCAATCATTTGAATATCAGCTTTCAATTGGGCCCAAAAACTTACAGCTAATGTAGATAACAAAACAGTTGTAATGCTCAGCCCTTATGGATTTCTGGCTGCTATATTTTGGGTTAACCGTATTTACAAATTTTTTTAAAGGCAATCTTACATGTAATTCATTGAAATATGCTAAACTGATTTTATATTTTTAAAATTAGGCAAAAAAGCTATGATTCAAAATAAGCCAGGTTTGTCACTATTGACATGTTCAGTTTGAAATGGCTTAAAACAAAATTATCTATTCAATTGCTACACATTACTCCCAAAGGTTGTTTACTTGTCCTCAAAGAATTAACTTTGTCACCTTTCTATTTCTAACATTTCAGATACCCTAACAAACCCAACTTTTAATAGGACATTCACAAATGTTTGCCTTTTTTCCCCCTTAATAATTATCCAGCTTCCTTCCTCATGGTATATTTCCCATTTCAGGTATGAAATCATGTATTCGTGTTGGAGGGCAGATCCTGTGGACCGACCTACCTTCTCAGAACTTAAGCTTCACCTAGAGAAAATATTGGAAAGCTTACCTGCTCTGAGTGAACCAAGCAGTATAATTTATATTAACACAAACTTGCAGGAAGAGAATGCAAAAGAGCTAATGGAAGATTATGAGTTTCCCCAAATAGACATAGTCCTTGATCCAAATGAAATCATACAATCTTGTTCCCAGAGACCGGAGTCTACAGTAGTCACTGTGGATATCCATGAAAGCAGTGAAACAGGGGATAGATACATTTTAAATGGAGTCAATAGAGAGCACCAGGCCAGCCTGGTAAGAACAGAGGAGGAAGAAATGTCATTACTTCAGATCACTCACTTGCAGGATGGGATGCAGTGGTCTCAAGCCAGCACACTCCCTGTAGGAAGCGCATTGACTAATGAACTGCTCTTTGCAGATGATTCTTTGGAGGAGTGTGAAATTCTGCTATGAAGAAAAACTAGCATTCTCTTATGAACTGGAGTTCAGAGACCCTTCTGAGCTAGAAGTGCTCTGGATAGCCATTGGACGTTCCCATCACGGAAAGCCATTCCTGTGTAGCATGGTCTCCCATCTTTGTACAGCAGATAACTTTAGAAGAAGCATTTGTATCTTTATAGAAATTATATTTTAATAAACAAATTTGATAATGGTCTGTTTTATTTATTTTGAACACAAGTTTAATTTTTTGGGTCTCTTTTCTGTAACAGGTTCTTTCATGGATGGTTTGTCAACAGAATATCCTCTGGCTCCTTCACAACTTCTATGTTACAGTAGATATTGATAGATATTAACCCACACACACATGTACAATACATGCATATAATTTCTGACCATTTTATTCATTGAAAAATATGCCATTCTCTTTTGTCAACACCTTACACAGTACACAATACACAGGAAGATGATAATAAGTGATATACACCAGCCATTCTCAACTTGGCACTTTAATCTAGCTGAGTAGGCATGAAGCAAGTGTTAATTGAACACTCTCGATTACAATTTCTATCACCATTTGGGAAATAACTAATGTCAAGAAGCAAGAACGTGTTGTGCCACATTCAAATCAGCAAATCTTTAAGTAACTTTGTATAGGGCTTTTGAGGGACAGCCTAGCTTATTAATCTCCGCTGGCCCAATTTTTTCACAAGTGGTTTGGGGCTGAGAGAGAGGGACTGGGCAAAGGTGATCCTGCTGGTTTATATCTAAGGCAGGACAGTTTCATGATTTCCCAGTTTCTTGCCTGATGCCTTAATCAACTACAGCAAACTGGCTGTCTTAGTCTTTCTTGATTTAGGTTGTGAGGTAGTCAAGAATATTTCTGCAAATTTTAAAAAGATGGCCTGCAGTTTTAAAAATTAAAAGGGAAAAACAATTGATAAACCAAGAAAATGGCCTGGAAAATGTTTATTGATCTACAAAAAAGGCTTGAAAAAGCCTTGCAGAAATCAATGTGATGAGATAAAGAAGAGAAATTGAATCCTTCAACATATTTGATTCAATTAAAGAGTAAGACTATTAGAAGTAAAGGAAGGAAAATAAAATAGTTTTTTAACCAGGGTTAAAATAAGATACTTTGTTTTTTTTGCAAAGTTCTGATAACCTTTTTGAACTTTTTGAACACCAGAATTGAAATTTTGATTTTTTTTTAAATGTATTTGCTTATACGTAAGAGATGGAAAATGGTACAAAGAGAATCTGTTTATAACCTTGTAAAAGTGAAGAATACATAGCAATTTTCAAGTAGTCTGCAGGGATAAAAATGGAACACTGTCACTATGTATCTTTACTTTCTCTTCTAATTCTTTGCATGGAGTAAAGTAATTAAACAGCAGATGGTGCTAGAGTTAAGGATAAATAAGTGCTGCTTGTATTGCACACCAGAGTATTGTACCTATTATGAAATGTACTGGGATAAAAGCCCTGCTCTCTGATGCACAATAAAAAAGGTTGGAGGTTCAGTCACGTTGTGATGGCCATCTTGACAGTTTTTTACCAGTTTTCTATGAACCCCCTTGGAATGTTGGTTGACTGAGGGCAAGTGGAGAAGGAAAAGGGTGATTTCTGGAAATAGGTCTGTAGATGTAATGGGCAATAGGAATAACCTTGAACAACAGGAGGAAGAGCCAAGGCAATGGTCAGATAAAAAAAAATCTAGGGCAGAAATGTAATTTGAGTGAGTATCTCAGTCATGACCACCTTAGTTTTCATGAAGATACACTAAAGGGAAGGAAGGAAGCACATTCAGACTTGCAAGATTCTGTTACTGTAACCTCATAATAAAGAAATATTAGCATTCGTAACTCTGGCATCCTAGTCTGGTCTACCTTGAAGAACTGACAAGGGGCATGAACTCCAAACAGAACTATCACTTTTTTTCTTGATTTACTGCATTCTGCATTAGGATCTACTTTTTGTTCAATTGTCTTCTACAGTAGTACATTCTCAGTTTCTTAGAGCCAATTTCTCACCATATGCAACTTTCCTTTTATAGTTTTACCAATTGCTGGTCCAGGTCTACATACAATTCAAAATGCTGAACAACATAAGAAGAAACCTAGTTTTCAGATGTCCCCTCCCATTCCAATCTCTCAAGCCATTGCATGTGCCCTTATTTTATCCTCATATCTTTTTGAAATATAGGGCTGAGAGAAATAAAAAAATGAGGTTAACGGGCAAGTCAATATTTAAATAAATCTCAAACACTTTTATTGTATCTTCTAGAGCAAATAGGTTCTACAAGGAGGTAGATTTAGGATGGGAAAGGATTCTATGCCTCTTAAATAAAGATCACCAACCACTTAAGCAAGCTTGCCTAGAGTTGCTTTCAGTTTTGCTGTGCTTTTTCGTTTTAAAGAATCAGCAACTTTTCCTTTGAGCCATTCTGCTGAAATAACACAGTCCCACAATTGTACAGTAGCAAACCATTTTGCAGGGCAGATGGTTATTACTGAGTTAATTATTTAGAATCACGTCCAAATTAAATAACTATTATGAGAATAACCTCGATAAAGAGACAAAGTTAATGACTGATTGGGATGCCAGTAAAGCGGTCGTGAGAGGGCTGTACTGTACAATAGAGAAGAAGAAGAAGAAAAATCCCAGGAGAAGATGCCAAAGCTATTGAATGAAATCAGAAAGAAAGAATTTGAATTGCAAAAAACACCCGTACTTTTTTCCCATTCCGTCTCCTGGTTTGCCCCAATAAATTATTACAGCGAATCCTTGGCGGGAAAAGACGTGCCCAAAACTCTTAAATAATATATTATAGTCCCAAAGTTGCTGAGCAGCAGGTTGCGCGGGAGATGGGCGCGCTCGCCCTGGCCTGGGTGTGCTGTGGGAGAGAAAAGCAGCCGTTACAGCAAGCCAGCCCCCTCGAGAGGCAGCGGTCGCAGGTATGAACCTAAAAAGGGGGGGAGCGGGAGCAACTCCCCCTCCTCCCCCCGAGGGATCCGAAGCGGAAACTGAGGCGCGAGGCACTTCTCGCTCGCTGGGGAAAGCTGCGGCGCGCGCCTTAGCTGCTTGGCCGCCGCTCCCCGCAGCCCTTGCCGCTCTCGCCTCCTGGCTGGGCAGGAGAGCTCAGCCTCCGCCGCTGGGCGAACGGCAGTTGGTGCGGAGAAGCGCCCGGTCACTCACTCCACTTTGCTGCCCGGCCATCGCAATAGTAGCAGCGCGCCAGCCATGATTTGTGGACGGCCACACAGTCTCAGCAGCCTCGTCCTCTTCTTGTGCCTAGCGACCGGGCAAGAGTTGCAGGCTTCCCAGGTAAGGGCTGTGCCGGGGTGCTTCTCTGCTACGCGTCCCCTTAGGTGCCCTGTTTCCTACTAGGCGTATATACTGTACTGGCATACTTTTGTTTTCTGCACTGGATACATGAAACTGTGAGAAGGGCCCAAGGGCTCCTTTTGCCCGTTTTTTCTTTTAAAGAATTTGAACCTGTCTCCTCTTTTACCTGTTCTTAGTCCTGTTGTTTGTTCATTCGCTTATTTTTTGTTGTTGTTGTTTTGTTTTGTTTTTTAGCCAAGGCAATTAGGCAAATGTAAAAAGGGACTGGCTGGGTTACTTTTTAGTACAGCCTCACTTTAGGTCAAGCGGGAAGGGAGCCAGATGCTTCCAGAGAAGAGGAGCCTTGCTCTAGCCCAGTGTTTCGCAACCTTGGCAGCTTAAAGATGTATGGACTTCAACTCCCAAAATTTCCCAGCCAGCCAATAACAGAATAACAGAGTTGGAAGGGACCTTGGAGGGCTAATATTCCAACCTCCTGCTCAAGCAGGGAGCCCTTTCATAAAAATCTCCAGTATTGGAGCACCCACAACTTCTGGAGGCAATTCCTTCCACTGATTAATTATTCTGTCAGGAAATTTCTCCTTAGTTCTAAGTTGGTTCTCTCCTTGATTAGTTTCCATCCATTGCTTTTTGTCCTGCCTGTGTTGGCTTTTTTGGCAGCTGAAACACACTGCTGGCTCATATTTCAGTAACTGTCCACTAAGACTCCAAGTTCCCTCTCACAGTTACTACTATTGAGCAAAGTATCACCTATACCAGTGATGCGAACCTTTTAGAGACTGAGTGCCCAAAAACTGGCCCCGCCCCTGCCCCACCCCCACCCTGCCTGCCCACAGGGCCACTCACCGCCTCCAGGGCCCACCACAGATCACCCAGCAGCGCCATGGCAGCCATGCCCTCTGCCCACAACCCACAGCATCAACTGTGCTCGATGAGACATGAGGGCAGAGTCTTGTCTACGCTGCCTGGCTGCCATGTCCTTGGCTGCGCTGCTCCACGTGGGCCACACTCGGGGGCGACTCTTCTCCAGGAGGGTTGCAGATGAGGAGGGAGTCATGGGGGGAGGCAAGGTTGGGGCAACGGCAGGTGTGCCCACAGAGAGGGCTATGAGTGCCGCCTGTGGCACCCATGCCATAGGTTCACCACCACTGACCTATACTATACCTGTGCATTTAGTTTTTTCTGCCTAAATCTAGAACCTTACTTTTCTAACCATTGAATTTCATTTTATTAGATAGGGGCCAATGTTCAAATCTGTCGAGATCCTTTTGTATGTTGAGCCAATCTTCTGGAGTGTTGGCTATTCCTGCCAGCTTGGTGTTGTCTGCAAATCTGACGAGTTTCCCTTGTAGCCCCTCATCTTATTCATTGATGAAAATATTTTCATCATGATGAAGGTATTTTTAAGTTCAGAGTGAGGTCCTTTAAGAAGTCTCATATAATGTCTGATTCTAGTTCCCAATATTAGCATTGACTTTGAGTAATGAGCCGAGGTGGCGCAGCAGTTAGAGTGCAGTACTGCAGGCCACTTCAGCTGACTGTGTTCAGTAGGTCAGCGGTTCAAATCTTACCGGCTCAAGGTTGACTCAGCCTTCCATCCTTCCGAGGTAGGTAAAATGAGGACCCAGATTGTTGGGGGCAATGTAAATATATATATACATTGCTTACTGGTGTACACCGCTTAGAGAGTGCTTGCACTTAAAGAGGTATATAAGTCTCATAAATAAATAAAATAAATAAATAAATGATAAAACTAATTCACAAAAAAATCCTTTTTATAGCATCTTTATCTGTTTCTTGCTGCTACATTACTTACACAAGCTTATGAATGCCTGGATGTAGCTGTGTGCACATATGAATATATTTGTTGAGTGATAAACATATAGAAATAGATCTATGCACTGTTATTGTAGATGGAAGGGTAGAACTACAAGTTAAGATGCCATTTGGAGTATCGGTACAGAGATAACATTTCTATGCCATAGTTATCATTGCTTTGAGAACAATGCAGCCTCTTAACATGAAAAGCCTTTTTTGGCTGCTTTCTCTGCACATATCTCAAGGCCAAAATACACAGGAATGTACATCTTGGTCCAGAAACAGAAATGCAAAGTTGTGCAGTGATAGTAGCTGTTCAGTGGAACTCAGCCTTATGTCCTTGCATTTAATTGGCTGGACAGCCATTGATGACAAGTTTCCTCAAATGTCATTCAAAAATGCTTCGAATTTTTCTGCTGATCATTATGACATCAGTAGTAGTAGTAGTAGTAGTAGTAGTAGTAGTAGTAGTAGTAGTAATGTTGATGACGATGACGATGATGTTGGAAGGTACCCTGGAGGTCATCTAGTCCAACCCCCTACTTAGACAGAAAACCCTATATAATTTCAGACAAATGCCTGTCCAATCTCTTCTTAAAAACTTCCAGTGTTGGAGCATTCATAGCTTCTGGAGGCAGGTTGTTCCACTGGTTAATTGTTCTAACTGTCAGGAAACTGTTAGGAAAGTCTGCTCACTCATATCCATTCCTGTTTCCATGAGGCTCTCAGGAGTCAGTAGATCCTAATTTGACCTGAACTGTCCAGAGAGTTCAATCAAAGGTTCAGTTTCTGGTTGTCCTATTCCTTTTTTTAGGAGTCAGTACAATGGCAGATTTTCCAGCCTGATCTCCGCTGTAGACTGCAACTCCTAGAATTCTCATTTTGCATTTTACTGGCTCCGCAGCAGAAAATTCTGGGACTCATCTCAACACAGCTGGAGAGCGCACCAGATTGAGACAGGCTGCCTTAAGACACATAATTTGAAGACAAGATAGTTCCAAAGATCTATTATTGTCTGTCTGGAATATTAATGACTCAAGTAGAAACCTAACAAAACTTTATTTGCTATATATAGAAATTACAGTTGTACCTTATCTATCCTATCACTTCTTGACAGTTTCAGCTAGAACAAATTATAATCTGTTATATAATACCAGAGAAATTGTGAAGAATAGGGACTGATTCTGTGGGAAAACAAATTTCCATGGACCAGGGGAGAATGGTTTTGCACGCTACTTAGATCCTGCACAGGCACAGATGAACTTCACCCGCTTTTATGGCCCAGTTTCTAAAGGGTCATGGACCGGTACAAAAAATGGGGGTTGGGGACCCCTGGTATAGGATATGTACAAAGACACTTCAAATGTATGTTTGAAATGTGGACAAGAAGGGACATTTTATCATGCTTGGTGGACATGTAAGCAAGCTAGGAAATTTTGGATTCAAATATATATATATACTAATTTAGAGGATTTTAAAAGTTGCTCTACAACTAAGCCCAGCTCTTGAAGCAAATAGTTGGGAAAAAAGTAATGGAACTTTGTTTTTGTATATGGTAACTGCAGCCAGATTATTGGATGCACAAGGATAGAAAGATCTACTATGGAGGAATGGTGGTGCAGAGGATGGGACTTACTGAGAGGTGCAAACTAATTTCTTTGATTAAAGACAATCTATATTTATTGATGACTGGAAACTCCTTGTGAATATGCATAAAAGAGAAAAATAGCTTACAGTTTGTGGTTTCGATAATTAGACAGGATAGAATATAGAAAGAAGACAGTCATGAACTTTAGAGAAAGATAAATTTATAGTTGTACTTATAACAGCTATGAACAAGATTGGAAGCTACTTCTTTGTATCTTTTCTCTTCTCTGTTTTTCTATTACTTTTTCTTTCATTCTTGTACTTTGAGTTTTCTAATTTTTTTTCTTGCTTACTTTATATTAATGGTTTTTACTTTGTTTTTAAAACTTTTAATAAAATTATTTTATAAAATTACAATCTAATATCGGGTAGAGCCAAACTATTAAATAGCAGTGATAAACAATATTATAAAACATTCATGTCTATAGCAGCATTATGCATATTCTTTTAACACAATAACTTACATGTTGGTGAGTAGATTGTTTTGTGTGTGTTCATTAAGAAATGCCTAATATTACTTTTTCAGCTTGTTACCGTTGTTCAATTATGATTTTCCTTAAATGGTATTGGGCAACTTGTTCTACTTGCAAAAAATTAAAGGGCTAGTCTTTTTAAGAAATGCAGGATATAAATAATCTGGAGAAAACATTGGAATACATCATTTTCAATATACATCAAATGTTATGGTTTGCGAATGTAACATGTTTATATCAGTGGTGGGATTCAACCGGTTTGCACCACTTCGGCAGAACCGGTAGCTAATTTTTTGTTGCCCAGGCCCAGAATGGACTTCCGGAAGCGGCATCCACACAGAGAACCGGTTGTTCACATACTGTATTTGAATCCCACTACTGGTTTATATGCATCAATCTGTAATTTTTCTTTCTTTTCCGTAGAACTGCATGGCAAAACAGCAACTCCTGGCTACTATCCGGCAAATGCAGCAGTTTCTCAAAGGCCAGGAAACACGATTTGTTGAGGGACTACGCATCATGAAACACCGACTCACAACTCTGCAGAACACTGTGACTAAAGCCATCCCAGACCCACAAACTGGTAAAAAAGAATACAGAGCTTCAGAGGAGGAGGAAGGAACCTTGTTCAGGTTGAGCTCATGGACCAAAATGAAATTGTAGGATAAGAAAGTCACTCTTGGCATCTTATATCCATGACTCATGCTTTCCTAAAAAGAGCCACCTCACTCTTTGGCTGGCTATACAAAACACAAAAACATAGTTAGCTAATGTGTGGGTTGGTTGGAAAATCAGATAATGGGATTTGTTTATGGTTCAGCAGATTACATAAATCAAGGCAAATTAATTCTGGATTAGTATGGGATATAATTACAACTTTTTACTTTTTATAATACAAGCTCAGAAGACAGTGCCCAGTCCTCTACTCAGCCTTCTGGCTAGGAACTACAGTTAAACATATCTGAAAAGTGCCAGATTGGACAGTGCTGCATTATAATAACTTTGGACTTGCTCTCAAAATCTTCTGTGTGAGATCTCCACGTGCATGGAAATATATTACAGAAGAAACAAGGGATCTAAATAATCAATCCAAAAGAATTTGAGATAGGTCACTTTTGACAAGTGACACTACTCTCCTGCTTTACTGTAAGCTTTGCTCATGCATACAGATAGGTAGCCATAGGAAGAGAAGATCATTTTGCTTCCTGAAACATTCTTCAAAGGCATTTCTCAAGTCATACGAGATTATGCAAAGCCACATTCTTCTGAAAACAACAGAGTATAATGCTGCAGTGTCTATTTTTTTGCACTTCTATACCGAGTAAGGGAAAAACAGGCACCCACCCTTTCATCCACAAATCCATTCCTGCGCAAGTAGCATACTACTGGAAGCCCTCGCAGAGCATGCAAAATGAACCTTTTCAGTGGTAAAGTCCCACAATTAAAATAGTTGTCACCCAAAAAATTAATCAACATGCTTCCTCCAAATCAACTAACATGACAAGAACTAGTAGCTATCCACCAGCCATTCCTTTTTAAGACAGCCATTTTATCCTTCAGTGTAGGGTAAGCAATAGTCCCAGATGTGCTTTTGACCACTGTCAGGAGCATAAGACTTCTCACTGAACCCTCAATGGAGTCTTTCAAGCAGCAGAAATATTCCAAAATCTGAGAAAACTTCTATCTCTATCCACACACAATATTTATACTCTTGGTTAATTGATTTATTCCAAATTTCTTCAATGTCCAATGAGAACAACCTATATAGATCTGTAATGTGCGATATCACATTCTAATATTCCCTGGACATCATAGTCATGGAAGGGCACTCAGGGTGAAGAAGGCATATTTATTGAGTTAATCCCATATTACAAGTTACGCAAAACACTCAACCACCACAGACAAATCTCTTGACCTAAGTTCGCACAACACACAGGGCTAAAATGTGATTGTTTATTTCAGAGCTGGATATATCATGTAAACTCATGTATTATATAGAGATTGTGAAGCATCCAAACTAATACTCTGAAATAGGCTTAATATCATTGTAAAAAAACAAAATGCTCTCTCTTCCCAAAAAAAACCTCTTTATCAAGATTTTTATATCATACAAATGCAAAAGAGTCATTTCAAATATGTTATTTCTATTATCTATAATTTACAAAATAATTGGATTATTTCCAGCTAACTATGATGTTTGGAAATTATGAGTTGAATGTTTCTGGGGGATGCATAGTTTAATCTGTTCATAATTGAATTATGCAATGTTGTAATGATATGGACAATTTGAGCATTCCTAAATTAATCAATTTACAGTAAATGGATGAGATCAGGAAGGCGTAGTATGACTTGTGAGAAAGGCAATGTTTGAGTTGCGTTTTAAGATTACTAAGTCTTGTGTACATACACAGATCTCACGTGGTTAGAGAAGGTCTCTGAATGGTTGTCTTATTCCTTCTGAGGTTTACTAACCATCAGTCTGTTGCCAAACTCTGCTTGCAGTGTTTTGTTCTACATTGGAAGCTCCGATGAATGGCAAAAAATTTGGCACGAAGAATTTGGTGGATCATGAAGTCCATTTTACCTGTGATCCTGGATTTCAGCTTATTGGTTCCAGTTCTCGAGTGTGTCAGCCAAACGGCAGCTGGACTGGAAAGGTTCCACACTGCAAAGGTACTGCCTTACTATTTCTTAGCTGGGGCACAGAAACATCCCATCTATTTGTCAGAACAAATTTCTACATGTGTAGCTAGTAGAATGCCATCATAGCTATCGTGCCTATATAAAAAGTTGACCTAGAGGAATATGCTAAATGGAGATCAACTAAAATATAATATTCAAACTGCATGGACACAACTGATGTGACACTTTATATATTCTTATGTTAATAGTAGCCTGGTGGGGAGAACCTGATCACTCTGCAGCTTTAGTGGGATATCAGAGAACAGGAGGGTTGAGTTTAAGAGGGGAAAATTAGAATTAATTATTTTAATTTCAGAGTAAGGAATAGCTTAGTGGCATCATTGGAAGCATCCTGAAAAAGCTGATCCAACAACATACATTGCAATGAACTAATCCATATATTCCCTGGGTAGTTTTACTAGTTTATTCTTTCATTCTGGCAACACTGTTCACTTTTAATCATTGTTTTTTCCCAGATCCTATAGCCCATCAGCTAGAAGATCCATATACTATTTCACCTTAACTTGTATAAATTACACTCTCTCGTGCCTGAATTAAACAAGTATTAGGTTTGAACACAAGTGCTTCATCCCAAAACATGGCTTGAAACGGCAAGTAATTATGAGTGAAAAAAAGACACTTGCTAAATATTATTGCTATAGGTGCTTTTGGCAGTCTAACCTAATAACAGACATAAATGCATTGATAATTACATCTTGGGATATCACTTATTTAAATAAATTAGCATTACATAAAATCTAGAGCTATAATTACGAAACTCCAGATCAGCAATTTCTCATTAATTCAATGTATGTTTATACTTAAAGTCTACAATTATGTTTCTGGTCTTTCCCTTATGTAGTCAAGGGGAATAAAATGCTATAAGCTTTGGTTTCTATATTTTTTTCTTTCTTTCCTTGCTCCTTAGCTTCTGACAAACGGCTATTACATAGATAAAGGTTTTTCCCTCTTTCTTTTGTTCACAAGCCAGAAAAAAAGTAACTTGTTAAATTACTGTTTCTCAGATTGCCAATAAAATGCAGATGAAAAAGGGATACTGAGTTTTTAAAATGATATTAAAATGTTCTTTGAAACCCCTGAATCTGGTAGGTGTTTTTAATCAAATCTTTTTAAGATGTGCACAAAATCAAATCAAGCTTCACAACAAAAATGAAGCATTCTAAATCAAGTGAAACAATATTGGGTATTTTTTGCAGGTGCATAATAGGAAGGAAGCGGGAGCAAGTCTTCTGAGCTGCTACCCAACTGCCTTTCTCATAGGGATGCTTTTCTTCTTCTTCTTGGAATGCTTTTCGCTGCAACCTTCAGGCTGATTTGGGCTCTTTTTGAGTCAATCTTTCTTTTGCCACCTTTTCTTCCCACAGCAAAGTTGGTCCAGTTCTATTTTATGTGGAGCTACAGAATCCTTTGCATAATCTTCTTCCAATGTTCCATTGGGTTGGAATAATACAGATAAAAAGACTTTTCTATTATTGGAATTTTTCCCTTCCCTTTTCAGCCTAGCAAAGCTTTTGCTCCTCTATCTTAAAATGACATTACCTCTGAACAAAATGGATGAATTTGGAGAATTCTGAGAGTTTGGAAAAGTACAAAAATTCTTAGAAAAAATCCAGATGGGAGGGTACAGATTTGTTTGGTTGCTTGCTTTATTTCTCTGAAACAGCTTTACATTTTTTCCCAGATGAAAATATTTTTAAGTGCAAAATGTACATGATCAGAAAAATAGGCCGTGTCTACCACCTCAAAGAATAAAACTAAAGAAAACTAATCATAAAGGTGAAGGAAAGGGGAAAAACAATTACAGGCATCCATTTTTTAAAGTTTTTTTTTATAATGACCATGGGAATTGAAATTGCTTTCAGACAAGAAAGAAGGAAGAGCCAGATGCAACCAGCTTTTCAGTTTAGACGACAGAATGATCCTGCTTAGGGTCCCATCCAAAGTTAATCCGCATATCTTTCTCGGCACTTCCACTTGTCTCAGAATGCTATTGGATTCTTTTTTCCCCAAATGCTGGAAAAGAATGACTGGAATCACAAATAGGAGTTGAAATAGAAAGGCATTCCCCAATGCAGAGTTTTGAGTAAAGTCCCTCTTCTGTCTTTTGAAATGCAGTCTTTCCCTTCCTTTGGTCTGAAGCACTATCCTAGTGTAAAGGGTGTGTCAGGTTAGGGATGGATGAGATGAACTTGCATATGCATCCATATATGTGCCCAATGTGATGGAAGAGGAGGAGGAATTATCTTACTTTTTGTTGTTGTTTTGCTCTATTTTGCTTAAAGTTTCACACACTTCTTCTTAGTGAGATTAAATTTTTCAGGCCCCTGCACACTGTCTGCGTAGCCCAGGCTGTTTGTTTAAAGGAATTCCTGTGTCATTGTGTAAAATGCTAATGCACCATTGAACCTGTGCCTAAGCTACTGTGAGAAGGCTGCTTGCACAGCCCTCCATTGTGGCTGAAAATATGGAAATGTTGCCTTTAAACAGATGTGACCCACTGTGTTAGCCTCTTATTTCTATTCAGGAGCAAGAAAGGAATGAAGACAGTGCTCCATATAATCTACATAGAATCTTTTTTCACACTGACTCTTGGGTTATGCAAAAGGGGGTTGGCAGGTTTGTGGGCAAGAAATGTTGCTTTTGAAACCACCTTAAAACATTTCTTATACTACAGCCCTCAACACCTGCTTTCCCAGGGAGCCAGATGAGAATCTCAGCTCACTGAAAGTTTCAAGGGTATGTGTGGAACAAGAGGGAGTAGCTAAACGCCTTAGAATGATTATTCAATAATCACTCAATAATTCAACTCATGGTTTGAGGACCTCTGATTATTTAGAATATTCTAATAGTAATAGTTGGCTTTTGGCAGATGCAAAGCTACAGCCATCTTACAAAGGCCTGTTTCCTCAAGAAATTCCATATCACACCGATTATTTCAATGCATAACAAATTCAGGAAAGGTGAAAGGCAGAACAATAGGAATGGAGGAGCTGTCTGGCTTGCTCCTTCACAGAAAGAAATTTTGTGGATCTTTGCTCCTTCTTGTAAGATAGTGCCTTCAAAAACTAAATGTGGAGTTTTCGATGCCCAGATCTTTCCTGCAAAATGAGCAATCATTTCTGCAGTTGTGTTATGGTTCTGAAGATCTTTCAGCCCATTAGAAAAATGCCACTATTGTGGAGATGATCCTTGACTCCGCTTCCAATCTCAAGAGGCTGGTTGAAGTTTCCACTTTGACTGATGCCAACAGGACATGATTGTGGATTATAAACTGAGTGCAAGGGCCTGTCTTAGCAGAATGAGCTGGAGATTCCCTCTCTTCCATGTAACAGAATTAGCCTTGATAATTTTGAGGTAAAGTCATAAATATTGCTATTTAAAGCACAGAAACCTATGTGAATCTTTGAAGATCTAGAATGATTCCTCATTGAAGAGAAATTCTTGCCAAAATTAGTGGAACATTGATTCTATTGAAGAATATTAGAAGTGCAAATTCCCAAAGCTACACCTCACTCCTTCATCTTTTATGAATTTATTCAAATGCACTTGCATAAAAGCCAATACAGGAACTACATTATCACTTCATATCAAGTTATTTTTGCTTGTGTCATCCAAGGACAAGTGATTGTTTTCTGTAGGCAACATTTTGTATGCTTACACAATGCATCTTATGAACTGAAAGAAGCAAATTTTCTAAGTATGTAATTCTTCTTCTTCTTGTGCCATATCCATTATCAGAAGTTGCGATCATGTTGGCGATTCTGTTTTTATCCTTCTTTAACCAGATATTAGTCTGTGCACAAATCATCAGTGCCAGAATGGAGGAACATGTACCGAGACAGGTGACCAGGTTCAATGCATTTGTTCACAGGGATGGACCGGCCCCAACTGCCAGTATCAAACCCAGACAGGTTTGTATTTTGCTGGGGGGGGGGGGGAGAGAAGCAATGGTTAAGGATGGTGGAATGGAAATGTCTCACTCCTCCATTCTTTTATATGTCAGGGAAGATGCATAGTATGTGGCAAACAATGGTTAGCTCAAGTCATAATTAGCTGTTTGAATTAGGGTTTGCTGCAAAGTGTATACTTGCAGTTTTCTCAATTGTTGCAAAAGGTGGAACAGGTGCATGGTTCCAAGAAACTCTGAATGTATTTTAGAAGGAAAAACCCCACTCTTTGCATAAATATGAAAACAATTATAAGCAAAAGAAAGGAAAAATGGTATAAACAGAGACTACCGTATTTTTCCGTGTATAAGACGCTATTTTTTTCCTGCAAACGCCCTGTTTCAAAAATCAGGTGTATCTTGGAGCTTCCGGTCTGAGGCGACGGCGATGGCGGCTAGCTTTTAGCCGTCCAGCTGGGGAAGTGTCAGAGCCGCGGAGCGCAGCGCGCATCAGCTGGCCCGCGGCTCGGAAATCCCTTCCCGGGCAAAGGGAAGAGATAGAGAGTGCAGGGATAGAGGTAGAACCCCTGAACCCCCTCTGGATTTGTTTCTAGAGGGGGTGAAAGGAGTGTTCCCTCGGAGCTCCTGCTGATCTCCGCCTCCCAGCTGTTTTTGCTTCCTAGGAAGCAAAAGAAACCGCCGCTTCTATCTCCGTGTTTATAGCTTCTGGTGAGTAATTTTTAAACGGACGGAGCAGTTTAAAGGATTTTTTGTTATAATTTAGGTGTTTATTTTTTTATTTTTTTATTTCTATTACTATTCCTCCTTTTTTTTGTTATATTAGTGAAAGGATTTAAGATGGCGCTTTGAAAGTGTCGGAGTTTTTTTTTCCTTTCTCTTTTGTTTTACTTTCCCTTTTCAAGGACTGGTTTTTGCTTTTACTTTTGCTTTTGGCTTAGAATTTTTTTTTTTTGAATTGTTGGCTCTTTTATTTTTTATTCCTTGGATTTATTCTGGACTTTCAAGGACTATAGCTTGTCTCTTTCTAAAAATTCTTTTCCCTTTTTTTTTTTTTTTTTCCTCCTCCCTTTCTGGCTGGAGGGGAAAGGGAAGTGACAATTGTGCTTTTTAAAATGGCTTCAAAGAGGCAGCAGCCTTCCTCAGCACCCAAGGTTATTTCTTCTCCTATAACTTCCACTGCACAGCTACAACAACAATCTAAACATGTACCACCGGCTCAGCCACCACCCTCCCCTCCTTTACCTGGACTTTCAGCACAAGAGGTTAGAGGCATAATGGGAGAGATTGTAGTTCAAATGAGAGAGGAAATGAATCAATTTGTCTCACAGATTAAATCAGAAATTAAATCTGATCTCAAAGAAGAGATAACGGGAATAAAGACTAAATTGCAAGAAAATAATAATGAATTACGACAAGATATACTGGCAGCTGTTTCAGGTTTGGCTACTGTGGTGGTTAAGCTCGATGCAAGGCTTGAGGAAGTGGAAGACAAAGTTGACTCTTTGGATGATAAAATTCAAGATGTGGAAAGGAAGGTGGACTCCTCACAAGAAGATATTTTGATGTTTCAGTACAGACAAATGGAGTATGCCCTGAGGATCAGAGGCCTCAAGGAAGATGTGAATCAAGATCTGGTGGAGGTGGTCCTTACTGATCTGGCACTGGCCTTGGATATGGATAAAGGAGAATTACAGAGAGAAGTGGAAAAAATTTATAGGCTCAACTCCTGGATTGCTAAGCAGAAGAACTTGCCTAGAGATGTGGTGATTTATTTTACAAAGAAGTCCCTGCGGAATGAGATTATACAAGTTTTTTACAATAAAAGATTTCAGATTGCTGCCCAAGATATCATCATTCTAAAGGAAATCCCATCCAAAATTTTAAGAAGCAGGAAAGACTTTGCTTTTTTAACCAATGAGCTTAAAGCTAGATCGATGCCATTTAGATGGGAAATCCCGATGGGTATTGTTTTAAGCCATGCTGGGACACGCTACAGATTGAACACAGTTGATAAAGCTAGAGACTTTTATACTTCGGTCCTGGGTGCAGGCTCAATCTCATCTGGTCGGAAATCTCTGAGTGGTAAGGAAGTTGAGCAGCAATCTGAGGCATTAGATTTGGTTTCCGCTGGGATGATAGAAGCTGTAAAGCAACGCCAGACGGAGGTTAAAGAGCAGAGGATGACCCGTGCAGCCTATAAGCGTAAAGAGAAGGAGCAACGTAAAAAAGAGCCTAAAGAGAATTCTCCTGGAAGTGCATCACCGCCGGTGGGAGGAGCAAGACCCAAGAGTTATGCAACACACGCAGCTCTTTCAGATTTTGATGGTGTCTTCTCCAGGCTGCGTGCCAAGGGAGATGGCAAAGTTTTTGACCTGGAATGTTAATGGATTGAATTCTCCTCAGAAACGTAAAAAAATCTTTTATTATTTGAAGCAACATACTAATGATGTTATTTGCTTACAGGAAACTCATATTTTACTTAAAGATCAGAAATATTTAGTTAATGCTCGTTTGGGATCTCATTTTATATCTTCTGCTCCTGGGAAGAAAGGGGGAGTTGTTATATATGTTAAACAAAACCTACCAGCTTGTCTGGTAGAATCAGATCCCCAGGGGAGATATGTGATGATTGAACTTGGTATTTATGGTAAGAAAGTACTTATAGTTGGACTTTATGCTCCAAATCAACAACAGGAACAATTTTATAAGCAGTTACATCAAAAAATAACATTGCTTGATTATAGATCAGTGGTATTAATGGGTGACTGGAATGGTGTCTTAGATACACAAAGGGACAAGAAAGGTTCCTCTCCTTTTTTTAAACAAGCAAGGCTACCTAAAGCCTTTTTTGATATGAAAGAAGACTGGGAATTAAGGGACTATTGGCGGGAACGTAACCAAGAGGAGAGAGACTTTACTTTTTTTTCTGATAGACACCAATCTTTTTCAAGAATTGACTTTTTCTTGATTACCACGGACTTGTATAATAAAGTTAAGAATGTAAAGATTTTTCCTAGATCACTGACGGATCATAGTCCAGTTTGGATGGAGCTGATTCAAGAGAAAGAGGAAAGAAGATCCTGGAGAGTCAATGAAAATTTGTTTAGACAAGAGAAGAATGTTCAAAAATTAAAGGAGTGTTTAAAGGACTATTTTGTTTTGAATATGTACAACGGGACTTCAATGTCAATGGTATGGGATGCAGGTAAAGCATTTATGCGCGGTGTTTTGATAAAAATGAATAATTTTTATAAGCGAAATCAGATTCAGAAACGTAGAGAACTTGAAGATGAAATTAAATTAAAAGAAAGGGCTTTGATTCTAAATCCTTCTGATGAAAGTACTAAAGAATCTGTAAAGCTATTAAGGTCACAATTTAATATGTTGATAGCAGATCAAGCTGCAACCAACTTATTATTTATGAAACAAAATACATTTTGTAATGCTAATAAGCCGGGGAGATGGTTGGCTTATCAATTAAGAAAGAAACAGAGACAGAGAATAATAGAGAAAATAAATTACAAGGGTAAACTAGTTTCTCAGAAGGAATTAATTAAAAAATCTTTTTTGGATTATTATCAAAACTTATATAAATCTACTAATGTACAATTGTTAGATATAAATAAATATTTAGCTGAGGCAAGTTTTCCTAACTGACTGAGGATCAGAAATATGAAATTAATGGCTTAATTACTAAGGAGGAAATTGCCTCAGCAATTCAACAATTGAAATTAGGGAAAGCACCGGGTACGGATGGGTTAACAGCTGTTTATTATAAAGCTTTAATGGAGGAGATGATCCAACCATTAAATGATCTTTTTAATGGTATCTTACAGGGTTTAGAGATTCCTCCTTCATGGCGTAGTGCCTTTATATCATTGATTCCAAAGGAGGATCAAGATCTTACTTTACCAAAAAATTATAGGCCTATATCTCTTTTAAATGTGGATTATAAGATATTTGTAAAAATTTTGGTAAATAGGCTTATGAGGGTGGTGCATCATCTTGTGCATAAAGATCAATCAGGGTTTATAACAGGAAGGTATATGAAAAACAATGTTAGACAAATTATTAATTATTAGAATACTTAGATAAGAACAACCAAGTTCCTGCAGGGCTCATATTTTTAGATGCTGAAAAAGCATTTGACCAATTGAATTGGCATTTTATGCTAAGAGTAATGGAAGAAATGAATTTTGGTGAAAACATATTACAAGCCCTTAAGGTAATATATCAAAAACAAACAGCACAACTTATTGTTAATGGAGGTTTGTCGGAGGTTTTCACAATAGAGAAAGGTACTAGACAGGGGTGTCCTTTATCGCCATTGTTGTTTGTTTTAACATTGGAAATATTATTGATCAAAATTCGAGAGTCTCAGGAAATTAAAGGAATACATGTTAATAAAAAAGAATATAAGTTAAGAGCTTTTGCGGATGACTTGGTTGTTACTTTGTCGCAACCTGATTATTCTGTAGTAAACTTATTACAGTTGATTCATCATTATGGCTTGGTCTCGGGTTTCAAGATTAATGTAAATAAGACCAAAATTTTACCTAAAAATATGTCTAGTCAGGAGAAGCAGATTTTGACTAACTTGACGGGTTTTGAGATTGTTAATAAGGTAAAATATTTGGGGGTGATGTTGTCTGTTTCTAATGTAAAATTATTTAAAAATAATTATGAAAGGTTGTGGGTCAGGGTACAGAACGACTTGAAGAACTGGGAAAAGTTGCAATTATCCCTCATGGGAAGAATTGCAGTGATAAAAATGAATATTTTACCCAAGTTTCTTTTTCTGTTTCAAATGTTACCAATTTTGAAAAATGAGATTAATTTAAATGAGTGGCAGAAGGGTCTTAATAAATTTATCTGGGCAGGGAAAAAGCCAAGGGTTAAGTTTAAAATTATACAAGACTTCCGTGAGAGGGGTGGACTTAAGGTACCAAATTTGAAATTATATTATGATGCGGTGGTTTTAACACTAATCAGTGATTGGGTAAATTTGACAAATTCTGAGATACTTTATCTAGAGGGATGGGATTTACTTTATGGGTGGCATGCCTATTTAACATTCAATAAAAAAATGGATTGGGCTTTTAAATCTCATATCTTAAGAATTTCTTTACTTAGGATTTGGAGAAAATATTATAAAAGTGATTTCAAAGTACCATTATGGGCTATACCTTGGCATGCGATAGAAGCAATAAAAAGAGGGGTTAAAATGGATATGGTGTCTTACAGACAGTTACTTAAATGGGATGGACAAAACTGGCAATTAAAATCACGGGAAGAGTTAGCACAAGAAAACTTTATTTATTCTTGGTTCCAATATAGGCAATTACTAGACAGATGGAAGATGGATTGTAAGGTGGGTTTTCTTAGAGAAGATGAAAATCTTATTAAGCAAGTGAAGGATTCAAGACAAACCCACATTAAGAGAATTTATGCGGTTTTAGTTGAATTGGATTCAGAAACGGAACTAATTAAAGACTGTATGATTAGATGGGCGCAGAATTTTGGTGAGCCAGTCTCATTCGACACCTGGGAAAATATTTGGGTGAGAAATGTCAAATTTACACAAGCACAGAACTTAAGGGAGAATTTTTATAAAATGTTTTATAGATGGCACCTTGATCCACAAAAAATGTCTTATATGTACCCTGACGTGCAACCCAAATGTTGGAGATGTGGTTATAAGGAGGCTTCCTATTATCATATTTGGTGGTCATGCAGAGAGATAAAAGCATTTTGGATCAAAATATGGTGGAATATCCAGAGAATTTTTAGAAGGAGGGTAAAATTTACTCCGCAATTATTTTTGTTAGGTATTGTTACAGATTGTGATACAAAGGAGGTTGTATTGATGTTAAATTTGATTACAGCCGCCAGGCTGTTAGTAGGACAATATTGGAAGAAGGAATCTTTGCCTACATTGCAGGAATGGTTTCTTAAAGTAGCTCATTTGGCGGAAATGGCAAAGATTTCGGCTTTCTTAAAGCAACAAACGCAAGAGAAGTTTTTTGCTGTTTGGGATAAATGGATAAAATTTATACAATTTAGATTGGGTATACAAAAATATTATATAGTTTTTTCATAAGTTTTATTTTTATATATATTATAGATAATCTTTTTATATATATAAATATAAAGTTCTTAATTTAATTTTTATTTTTATTTCTTAAGCCTATATTCTGCTCTGGGAAGCTCAGGGGGGGGGGAAGGGAGGGTTTTTTTTTTTTTTTTGGGAGGGGTGGGGGATGGGGGGTTTTTCTTATATATGTATTGTTTAGTTTTATTTTTTTGCATATGTTGTCTCTTGTTTTGTATTCTTTTTTCTTTTTTGTAAAATTTATAAAACTTTTAATAAAAAAAAAAAAATCAGGTGTATCTTATACAAGTGCAGCATCTTAAACACGGGAAAAATAATGGTAACCTCCGCAACTCAGGGCATGCCTGTGTGGGTTGCCATGCTGCCTAGTGCAGGTGTCAAGCCCCTGTGGGTTTGCCACCAGTGGGAGGGGGGAGGGGGCAAGATCGTCAGCCGGCCAAACTTCCGGATTTGCTGGCTCAGCTGTTCGGCACTCTGTCGAACAGCTGATCGGTGTGGAGAAACTCACATGCCAGTGTGTCTTATACAAGGGTGCCTCTTATAGACGGAAAAATACGGTATGTCAAGAAGAGGAACAGCTTTTATGAGTTGCATTTATATCCCATGTTTCCTCAAGGCAGCCAAGATAGGGCGTTTTCTTCTCCTGTTTTTCTCTACAACAAGGTAAGCTGATGTGAGAATGACTGGTCCAATTTCCCACAACAAGTTTTCACCATGGCCTTCCCAGTGTTAGTCTAGCACCTTAACCGCTACACCACAATGGACCTGATTCTTAAAAAAAACATTGAAGAATTTTACACAATAAAAAAGAGCACAGATTTAAGAAAGAGAAAAAATAGTGAATAAAGGGAAAAGAAAAAGAAAAATGTTTTCAGCAATAAGTATATAAAATGAAAGCAAATCCTACTATCCAATGACACTGATGGTATTACTTAGTTTGGTAATAAAATATCTCCCAGAAAACCACCAAATTCAGAGAGCACCAAGGACCCCACAGGTCAAACCTGAGCTACAAATATTTTTCTCTGTCAGTAATTTCTTCCTACTCATTTTTCAGTACCTCCAGCTTGGAGAATAAATGACCCAGCTTTCAGTCGCAAGCCGCGCTGTGCCCAGTTAGATCGAATGCAACATTGCAGCTGTGAAGCGGGCTTCCATATGAGTGGCACTGCAGAAAACAGTATTTGCCAGGGTAAGAGATAAATGGAACAATACACCTGAACAGAAAAAGCGATGAGCTCTTGTTCCCGCTTCCAGATCAATTTAGCCCCAGTTTCAACATCAAAATGTACAATTGGTGGCACTAGTATTTCATCTCTTGTATTTCACATCTTGAGGTAGTTCCGACCAGGAAACCAACATCATGACAGACACAACATGTCATTTGGATTGTTAAAATCAGGGCCTGGTTGTGTTCGCAATTTCCATCTACTTAGTTTTGCTCCAATTTTTAAAAGCAGTAGCTAATGGCTGAATCATGGCTACACTTATCTCTCCTCCCCCTCCCCATACACACCGAGACAAATCCATTTTTTAAAAAAAAAATATCAATCCAACTTTGTACATGTATTTAGAATATAAATTGCACATCTTTGCTACCAGTAGCAATTATATTCTAGAAACACTTTACTCCTTGCTAAGCCCAGCCATGCAATGATGCATTTTGTTCCTGCAGGAATGTCATGTCAGTTTCTTTCCTGGCAGATGTGAATGAATGTGAAATTTACAAGCTGGAGGGAGCCCCTCGTCTCTGTATGCATGCTTGCATCAACACTCCTGGCTCATACCACTGTTCCTGCCCCCCTGGATACAAGCTCTTCAACAATGGGAAAAACTGTGAAGGTGACAGAGATTTCCTTTTACTAAACATGGAACAAATGGCGTTTTATAGAAGCTACATAACTTTTCTTCCCAAACGTAGACTTCAAGCAGCATGTCATGTCACAAACATGAAACACGTGTGCTAGAATTTGAGCACATAGCCTTATTTTGCTTTGGCAAAAAACCTGTGATATGACTTTTATCACAGCGGCTTGCAAATCATCCTTTATAGTTTAACATTTCATAGGATCCAAGTTAGTACAGGTAGTCTTCGATTCATGACCCCAATTGAACCCAAAATCTCCATTGATAAGCAAAACAGTTGTTAAGTGAGTTTTGCCCCATTTTGTGACCTTTTTTGCCACAGTTGTTAAGCAAATCACTGCAGTTGTTAAGTAAATCAAGTTTCCCCCCATTGACTTTGCTGGTTGGAAGCCAGTTGGGAAGGTTACAAATAGCTTTTAAATAACCCCAGGACGTTGCAGCTGTCATAAATACATGCCAGTTGCCACATGCCCGAATTTTGATCACATAATCATGAGGATGCTGCAATGGTCATAAGTGTGAGACTTGGTCATAGCTCATTTTTTTCAGTGTCATTGTAACTTCAAATGGTCACTGAACCAATGGCTGTAAGTCGAGGACTACTTTTAATGTCTTGTAGAAAAAATCCTAACTAAATTAAACTTGATACGTTTGTAGGAACCCAGTCAGTAAGCTTCTTTGCAGCCAGACTAAAACTATAAACCTATTACTGGCACTAGGTCCCTGAGCTCAGTTGGACTTAGTTCAAAGAGATACAAGCTAGAATGATGCTGTGAATTGAGTCAACTTCAGGCCTGTGACATAGGAAGAAAAGCCTGGATTTGCTGCTAGTTCTGCTTTAGCAATACTTGCTTCAGCAATACGTACCACTTGAAATACTTCTCCTATAGCCCCATACCGTAAGGTCTCCAGAATTGTTAGCAACATTCTTCATACAGAGGCTAAAAACCATTTTAGTATGCCTTTTATTAATTGAATTCACGATCATATGAATATATGTGCCAGATATGTTCCTTTCTTGAATATATCCCTTTTCTACTGCAGTGGAGAATGGGGGGGAGGGGGCATTTCTAAAATATGTTTAGTAGGACATCCACAAATAATATATAATCATTGGCCACAAAATAAGATGATAGCAATACCCTACTATTTACAGTTAGAATAGTTTCAGGAGCTGTGGATGGAACTGAGCTCATTATGTGGCTGGTAGGAATTGTTTATTTATCCATAAGTATAGTTTGGCTGGAGAAATCAGTGGTTCTGGGGGAGAAAAAGGCTGAGTGGCCTCAGTGGCTGTGTTCTGCCAACATATTGTAATATTTTGTCATGGTTTTTTTTATGTATAACCAAGTTAGCTCCAACACAGCCAACGCAACTACACAGGTGCCTAGGCAAACACACAAATAAGTACTCAAAAACTAGTACTCACTGCTCATTATTCCACTCCTTCCCACTTCTACTACACCTACTTCTTCTTCTTCTACAGTTACTACTCATTGTGTGTCCTACTGCTGGACAACAGTTCTTTTTCTATTTGCTTCAGGCCACTTCACAAACACAGATATCTTCTCTCCCCCCCCCCAACACAACACAACATATTCCAGTGATGGCGAACCTTTTAGAGACCGAGTGCCCAAACTGCAACCCAAAACTCACTTATGTATTGTTGGGTGCCAGATGGGCGTGGCCCATTGGGTGGATGTGGCCCTTTGGGTGGGTGTGGTCCTTTGGGTGGGCATGGCTTCGGTGGTAATGGCAGACTGAGCAGGACTAAAAAGTTCAATCAATTAATTCCAACTTTGCGAGATCTATTTTTTTTCCCATGAGAAGTTGAAATTGATTGATTGAACTTTTTTTTTTGTACATGGCGGTGGAGGCCTAAAGTGAAAAGGTTTTATAAAACCCAGCTGAAGGCCTAGGACTGGGGCGACAGTGCAAGTGCCCACAGAGAGGGCTCTGTGTGCCACCTGTGGCACGCGTGCCATAGGTTCGCCACCACGGACATATTCCTTTACTCTTTATGAGGCCACTGCCATCTCTGTGCCCTTCCCCTATCTTGTTAGGAAGTCAGCAATGATGTTTTGCAGTCCTGCGCGATGTGTAATACTGAACAAGTACGATTGCAATATCAGATACCACCTGGGTTAACTGGGAATTTATATCCCTCTCCATCTGCTGCAGCCAGCAGGTGAGTGATTGGTGGTCAGTTATTGCAGTGAATTCCCGACTCTAGAGATACACACACGCAGAGCGCCGATTGCCCATTTCAGTGCAGAGGCTTTCTTTTCAAAGCTGCTACAATTTTGTTCCCTTGGGAGGAGTTTCTTTGAGAGGTGTGTTACTAGATGATCCATCCCTTCATGGTTTTGAATAAGCACTATGCCTAAGCATATGTTAGATGGATCTATCTGTACAAAAAGTGGTTGGAAAAAATCCAGCCCTTTAATACTGGCTTGCCATATAATGCATCTTTTATTTTCTTAACTGCCTCCTGGCATCCTTAAGACCACTGTACTTTGGATAGTTGTTTTTCTCATTAGGTTGGTTAGGGGTCAAGCAGGAGTAGAAAAATGAGGGGTAAATCTTGGTAATATCCCACCAAATCCAGGAAAGATTAAACATCTTTCTTTGCTTTGGAGGCTTCCATCTGTTTCAGGATTTCCATCTTTCCCTGTTCAGTATTTTTCTCCCTTAGCAACCATGAACCCTATTGTATCTGCTTTTCTGATATCCCACACTAAATGGCATATTTTTAAACTGAACAAGACCCTGTGGAGTGGCAAACTGTCTTTTCTTTGGAATGCTGATCCAGTGGAATTTGTCAATATCCTTTGGTTAAATTCAGAGAGGATAAATACTTGGCTCCACTTAGGCCATCCAAAAATTCATCCATTCTGGGCATTAAGTACCCATCAAAAATTATTTGCCTAAAGTCTACACAAAACCGCATGTCCCCATGAGAGGACACCAGTTGCTTATAGATGGTTCTGTTATTTGTATCTGGATCATCTTTTCTATTTCATTTTGTAATATACCTTTCAACTTCTCAGGAATTCTATAGGGACATTGTCTAATTTATCATGTTTCACCTGTTTTATGTTCAACTAAGGTAGTTATACTCAGTTGTGTGATAAACGTACATTTACACTCTTAACATTTTTTCTATCTCTTTCTTTTGACTATCCCCTAGATCCACCTGGATATATATATTTCCATGGGACAGTTGCAGTATTGCAGCCCAAACTTGATCCAACAATCCTGGATGCCTTTTCTTTAGTGCCAGCAAAGCCATTTAAGGATCAGCTCTTTTGTGCCATTTCTGAGGAGATTGGCATGGTAGATTTTCTTTTACTTGTCTTCCAATTCTATTTCATAATTTACTGGCCCTGTTTTCCTCTTTTACTATGTAGGGACTCTGCCACTTACTTAGCCTGTAGTTTGTTTTCTTTGATAGGAAAGAGTAACAGATCATGGTCTCCTACGTTAAAGCTCTTCACCTTTAAATCTTTATCATAATGTCTTTTTTGTCTTTCTTTGGCTGTTTCTAAATGTTCCTTGGTAACGTGTCCTTTAACTTATTCCTCTGCATTAGGATATATTCAATTAGATGTTCGCACCAACCTTCTTAATGAGATCTAGAAAATATCTAGAAATATAAGCCTTATCCAGTACAGTAACTGTTCTTTTTCTTGGAATCTGTATGTTGTTTGCTTGTTTTCCTCCTCTCCTGCTGTTAACCAACAATGTTTTAATATTGTGACTAAAGTGAATTTCCCATTTAGGAATCTCAATCCCTATGGGTTTACCCTTGTTTTGTCAGTCTTTTGTAAAGCTTTCTTTCCTAGGATATCTCACTTCTGTTAAATCAGGATGGCTAGGAAGAATTGCAGGTTCTTTCCCTTCTTGCTTCTGCTCCATTCTCATCTTTGTCCCACTATCTTAGCCTCTTTCTTGAATCCTTTTCTCCTAGTACAACCTTAAGTGTAAAATCAGTTTCAATCATTAGGTTGCATGGCAAATTAGGGTTAACTCCTGCCACCATTACCTGGTCCTTTCCCTGTGCTTGTACTTTGGCTTTAACCAATGTGCCATCTCAGTCTACCCAAACACACTCTTTCCCCATAGATACTGCTTTCTTCACTAAACGATGTAACAATGTTCATCTGTTACCAGTAGCTACTAAGCCTCTCACAGTAAACCCATTAACTTTTGCTGGGATCATGTTTTCCTTCCCAGTGACGCTTGCACTACTGCAGCCATTCCTTTTTTCCTTGACTTTTGTAGTCTTTGGACAATAGCCACTTTTCCCACAGTTGTTAACAATTACAGATCTTTTTGACCTCCCAAGGCCTTCCTGTAAGTTGGGTAGAAGCTAAAGCCTTCTTTAGTTCCTAAATTCTAGAGCAGGCTTTCTTATTCTCCCCTCTCCTTCTGCATCTTCCCTTCCAATATCCTCTGACTTTTGTGCTGCTTGTAGCCCTAAGCTAGTTCAATTGCCCTTTGACTTGACTCTGGATTGTGTTCTTGCACCCAAGATGTTAATTGGTTAGGAAGTATTTGTAGAAAGTGTTCTAAAATTAGTTCCTCTACCACTCTTTCCTTGCTTACTATTTCTGTCCTGAGCCATTTCCTACCTAGGTCTTCCAATCTTGCCCACAATTCATGAATCCCTTCATGTTTGTTTTAGGTGTAATTTCTAACTCCACCTATAGGGAGTGACATCTTATCTGTATAGGATTATCCCTTTGAGACAAGAGTAATCCACTACTTCTCTTGCTGGAAGACTACTATAAGCTGTCAAAGTCTTTCCTGTTAAACATGGGGCTAGTCTGGTCACTCATTCACTTTCAGGCCAGTTACACTCTTTTGAATATGATTAAAGAGGCTTCTATGTTTTCTTCCTCTGCCAACTTGGGGATTTTAATGTCTTTGGGACCACCTCCACTCTCTATAGATTTTACTCACTTTAGAGCTGAGACTCTTCTAGTGACTGTATCCCTTTAAGCAGGTCTATCAGACCCCTAAACTCTTTTCTTGTCTCTTTCACTCCTTTCCCATTCCAGTCTATCTTTCCTTTCTTTCTCCCTCTAAAGCATCTCCTTTTTAAATGAATCCCAGCATTTCCTCGGCTGCTGCCTTATCAGTTCTATGATATTGGCCCTAGTATCTGTGCCTAGTCCCATTTCAGGCTGCTCTACCATTTGCTTTAGCTTTAGCACAGGTCTAGGGTGGACAGCTGTTTTGGCCAAAATAGTAGCCTCTTCTAAGGGAGAATGTGTCCCTTCTGCCTTTTCCATGTCTGTTTATTTGGTGTAGGCCCTGGTAAGAGGCTTGGTTTCTGTAGCCAGGATGCTGGTTAATTCTTACAAAGTTTGAGCTCAGCAAGGGCCAATACTTTTCCCTTTGCAGCCCCCTATATTGGCCAGATTTTTTCATGGGAGTGTTTAGAACCCCTTGAGTCTAAGCCACCACCATTTGTGGGCTTACCACCTTGTGTTAATATCCCACTTTTTTATGAATATCCTACCTTTTGGATATCCCTCAGCTACAACCACTTTTATCACAGGTTCTTATCCCTATTCCCAAGTTGGTGGGCTGCAAAATCCAAGAGACAATACAACAACACACATGCCCAAGGATTCAAAGTCTAGTTCTCAATGCTCACTACTCCTCTCCTTTCCCTTCTACTGCACTTCTACTATTCCAGTTACTACTCCAAGTAAGTCTCACTGCTGGAGAGAAGTAGCTTTTTCTATCTGCTTTAGGCTTCTTCACAGACCAACACCTCCTTCTCTCTCTTCCAAACACCAGGAACTGCCTCTCTGCTCAGCTTTTATAAGCAACAGTTGCTGAGATGGCTAGGGAGAGAGCTTAAAGAGACAGGACTACAGTAGCACAGCTTCTGGCCATTTTGTATGCAGCCCGCTGTCTCACAGTGTTGATGCCTAAATGAGATATAAACCATATTAAGAGTGAGAAGAGAGTTGCAACCTCCATAAAACTTTTGATCACACTGATACCTCTACCATCTTGACTTTCCATGATCATAGTTTGCAGTCACTCATGCATTCCTGCATTTTGATGTGGATTTGATGCTTAGTTAAAATGCAACCATCTGGTCACCAGATTTCCCATAGATAAGACCATTTGTGATGCATCCTAGTGTGAAAGACTAGCCTTGAACACTGACAGAAGAATTCCTCCAAACAAAGTATTTGTTGTATTTTGGTTAAGGTATGCAAAAAGGTATGGCGATGAAGGGCCAAGAGCCGTCTTGGCCTCAAAAGGGACATTGTACCATGAAGTGTGTGCTCTGTGATCCTGGGCTATAGTGGAAAATTGACTTCAAATGATGATAGAAATGAGTTAATCTTAGTTTTTTATATTCAGTCTCTTCCTTTAAATGAGTCTTAGCAGAATGGCCTGAATTTAACCAGCTTTAAAGTTCTTAGCAATCACTTGAGAAAACCATTTTAATCTATACGCTCCTTCCTTGATCAAACATTTTTACAGTAGAAACAAAAAATGTTGAGAGGAAACAGAAATGGACACAAATTGCTAAAAACTGAATTGTGATATAAGTTCTGGCAGAGAAGAACCTTCAGTTTATGGTAAAACAGAGTTAGCTTGAGAGATCAGTAAAATGGCCCACCAGGTAGAAAAAGTGAAGAAGGGAAATTTCTTCCCCTTTTATTATAATACTGTACAAGTGCTTGAAATCATCTCATAGAATTATACAATAAAAGATTCAGGATGGATAAAAGAAATATGCCTACATGTATAATAAAATTGTACATGCTTTGAAAATTGATTGAGAAGTGCTTTGGATTTCATAATAAGGGAGACTATGAGAGGTTAAAAAGTCAAGATGCCATCTGTGGTCACACAAAGACCTGCTCTTTTTTTAAAAACATACTTCATGTGTGTGAAATATGTACAAAGGGGCTGGGCTACCATCCTGTTTTTTTTTTTAAATCTGTTGTGCAGATGCTCCTGCTCCACATAAGTCTGAATGTAATATCTTTCTTTTTATTAAAGTTTCCAGCACCATCTTTATTTCTGAGAATACCTTGAATTCCCAGCCATTCTCAAAATATAAAATGGTGGATGGTCACAGCATGATGAGATGGAACAATATTCATTTTCTCATAAACAAACACAAATGATTGCTGACATGTTAAAGAATGGCAGTTACAGGACTTCTTTCTTCTGCATATTTAAGTGCTTTGTGGTTGCTATATCCACCCTTCTGAACATGCTAGCAAGCTTTTCAAGGGAATCTGGGGGGGGGAAGTAAAATTGTTAATTTGGCAGCTGTGACTGTGCAATCGAAGCTCCATCTACTTTTTGTATGTATGGGACACATAAAAAAGCAGAAATTTAACCACATCACTGTTCTCATCTTGAGGCTTTTGTCCTCTCTGAAGATGCCCCCAAGCCACTATCCATGCTCCTTAACCTGCATGATTATCACTTTAGATGAAGATTCCCTGTGATAAGCTCTTAAAAAACCAAATGTGTTTGCCATCTTAACATTGGGATTCTCTGCTATAAATAGGTTAATAAAGAAATAATCGTATGTAAACCTAGCCTGCTGCTTCCTGCTGCATTTTTTCCATTACTTAAAGTTATTGCTATTCTTAGAAAACCATGTATTTCTTATGTAATATAAAATGTTTTAGCTTCAATATAAAACTAAAGTGCACATCCTAATGCAACTGGTATGCATCTGGCTCCTAAAATCTTAGATATAGCCCCACAGACGTCCAGAGGTAGTCTAAATCAGAGAGGGGGAAAAATTAAATGAATAATTGGTGAGGAATCCTATTAGTTACATTAAATTTAGTTTTAATTTTGCTCACACTGACTCTTCTATGGACTGCAGCCCCTGGCACTTCATTCACAGCCAAGTACAGCCTTGATCTGGAAAAAGCAATGGTACAGGTAGAGTAGATTTCAAGGGGTTTTCAGCAATGCTCAGATAAAATCCATAGAAATCAAATAAAATGAGGTACAAGTACAGTTAAAAGCAATAGTATCTGAAGTATGCAGCTGAAAAAAATAGAAAAATGCCATGAGATCTAAAGTTACCCAAGATGATTCTGAATTCTCTGAATTGCGTTAGAGGTGATGATGTGGTGAACAACTAGGTCATTTAACTGTCATAAAACCTTACTTGAGTATTAGTCTTGTGCTCGAAAGGGGATGTATGAGAATGGAACGGAGTGCCTCAGGAAGTAGTGAGATTGTCTTCACTGGATGGTGTGGGAATGTCTAATACTCTGTACTGAAGAGGAGAGAGGAGATGGGGGTAGCTACTTGTCCAATCACACAGAACATGCTCTTGTTAAGATATGGCAATGGAAATTCTGGCAGCAAATTCTCAGCCATAGTGCACTAGCAGGTCATATATTTGACTTCTATGGATTTACATCCAAAAGCTCTCAGGTTTAGTCTTTGGCAGCTTCATATAGGAGAGTGCAAGAATTCTGCTTGGAATCCAGACTGTCAATATGGACTCTATTGAAATTGATGGACCATTAATTTGACTCTGTATAAGGCAGCTTCTGTGTTTCTGTTTGAATTGACTGTCTGCCAATCTCAATCTCCTCTGTCACTCACTCTTCTGCTTCCCTTGCAGATATAGATGAATGTGCACTCTCATTGCACAGCTGCACTAGGGGAACAACATGCATTAACATCGGAGGAAGCTTTCAGTGTGTCAAGCCAGAGTGTCCCCAGACTGGTGGAAATGTCAGTTATGTGAAAACATCACTCTTGTAAGTAACATCAACCTCCTGCCAAAAAGCCCTGGTGTTGCACTGGTTAGAATGCAGTATTGCAGGCAAACTCTTCCCACAGCCAGTAGTTTGATCCTGACTGGCTCAAGGTTATCTCAGCCTTCCACTCTTCTGAGGTCAGTAAAATGAGGACCCAGATTGCTGGGGGTAATATGCTGACATCTGTAAACCAGTCAGAGAGTGCTGCAAAGCACTATGGAACGGTATGTAAGTCTCAGTGCTATTGCTATTGCTGTAAGGAGAAATGAGCTTTCCTCAACATGATGCCTTTCAGATGAATTAGGTTACAACTCCAGTTGTTCTCAACCACTGACAGGCAGGCTGTGGGAAAAGTGCTTCCACAATAGAAATCTGCATTAAGCCATTTTTTAAAAAAGCATATATTTTCTGTAAAAACTGGCTACTATTATAAAAATACAACTATCATATGTCCTCCTTAATTTAAAAAAACCATTATTAAGTAGTGGCTTTTAAATGGTGACTAACCACTTGAAGCTTCTCCAATGGTTGACTTCTGACTGAAGCTTTACCATGAAACTGTTATCATTTATAATTTCCAATGTGATTTCACTACCTTATAGGTGTCTAATTTTGAGGTTTGTGGCTACATTTGGCATTTTTAAAGTGTCACAAAGTAGTTCTCATGCCTAAGTAGATAATAAGAAAAAGCTGCTATTTATCCCACTTTTAAAAGATATTATTGGATTTCACTTTCAGCACTCTTCTGAGATTTGTCAGGGCTATAGTTCCTTGAATTAGAAGCTTCATACTAATTCATTTCTTTTCTTTTGAAATGTTTTATTGATTTTTAACACTTACAATCTTTAGTGCTTAGTAAACAACCTGTTGTCTGGGTTCACATCAGTGATGGGATTCAGCTGGTTTCCACCACTTCGGCAGAATCGGTAGCTAAGTTTTGGTTCCCCAGGCCCAGAATGGACTTCCGGAAGTGGCATCCACACAGAGAACCTGTTGTTCACATATTTGAATCCCACCATTGGTTCATATTTAACATTAACTTCTTTAATATAAATCTGTTCAGTACTGCACAATCCAGTATTTTTTTCCCCTGATCCTCCTTTCTTCTCCATATTTTTTTCCATTTTCCCCTCATTACACAGTTACAATTCTTGCTACTGTTGATGCATACAAATATTTCTCATTTTGTCAGTAAGATTACTCGCTATGTCTTCTTTGATATGTGGCCAAAACATATCATGCCTTAATGAGTTATCTTAGCCAAGTGGAGAAAATGCAGCTTTGTTTAAGTTTTCACAGCATTCTTGGTACAAACCAGCTAATTTGAAATATCTTTAAGCTTTATTGATTTTGGTGCAAGAAACTAACCTTATGATTCAGCTTCTTGCTTTGGCATCAATTGGATTTAAAATAACTTCATTTTCTTTTACTTTAATATATCTGGATAAATCACTGCTATCTTAGAAAATCTTGTTTGTGTAACAAGAATTCAGATTTAATATAATATTGTAGAGGTTGTATTAAATTATTTCAGATCATTTTATTCTGTTCTACTGAAAGAAATCTATAATGTTTTAGATGGAGCCAGAGAAGAGGACAAATGTTAGGGAGATGTATAATACCCCAGCAACCAAACTTCACGAAAGATCTTCCAAATTTAGAACTATTGCACAAAAGAGGTTATTGGAGAGAATTCTTCTGTCCCCACTGCTATATTCTCAGTAAAATTGGACAGCTTCCTAATTCTAAATAGAAAATATTTGAAGTGAGCAGGACATTGTGTTCCTTTCGGATAAATACGAACATTTATCCAATCACTGGTACCCATGGATCCTTAAAGAACAGGCACAATTCAAATTCTACCCAAATATATCTTTTTTATTCCTATTTCAATATTTTAATCTGGTATTGTTGTGATTCCACAGATGGAAATGGTTTGGCATGCATACATTCCTTTGCTAGATCAGAAATCTTATAAACAGAGCTTGCTTTTATGCCAGTTAATCCAAAAATATAACATCTGGCACAAGTATATCCCCATTTATTTCTAATGACTAGCAAAATTCAATGCCCAATTATAATAAGACCTTTGACACATTAATCTATTATAAAACTTTCAGTTCCCCAAATGTATCTCTAAAGGAATATGAAAATTCTCAAGAGCTACAGAACTCATCATCAAGCAAAGTTATATGAAAAGAAAGGGATAAGGAAGAAGCAGAAAAAGTTAATATTGTAATTCTTGAACTTTCCTGCTTCTTTTCTATTTCTCACTCTTATGTCTCTTTGGGTGGTCCTAATAAAAGCATAAGAGAACCAATTTGGATAGTGATTAAGGCACTGGGTAAGAAATCAGGAGTTTCTAGTTCTGCCTTTGATATAAAGCCACTTGGGTGACCTTGGGCCAGTCATTCTCTCTCCACCCTAGAAAGAAGGCAGTGGCAAACTATTTCTGATATCTTGCCAAGAAAACTTCAGAGACTAGTCCAGGCAGCCACCAGGAGTGAATAATGATTTGAAGGTATCCCCCACTAAAAAAATTGAGAGTCAGTCACAAAGCCAGAGTCAGTCACCAAGCCAGAACCAAAAGACTGAGTTCTAGCCCTGCTTTAGGCATGAAAATAGTTGGGTGACCTTGGGCTGGTCATTCTCTCTTAGCCCTAACAAAGAGGCAATGGCAAATCACTTTGCAAATGTCTATGGACATCTGGGAATTTAAAAAGCTTCTTGGATGAAAAGTAAAATGTCTTCAAACAAAATAAAGAACATCCTGCTCCCTTTTGAAAGCACTTTTGGGGCCCTTCCCATATCTTGCCAAGAAAACTGCAGAGATGTGTCACCAGGAATCCAAATTAATTGTAAGGCACCATAGTAATAACAACAATAACAACAACAACAACAACTTGATAAGCTGCTGCAAGAAGTTTGCACAGACTGACTACAAGCAATCAGCAACAAAGGAGCATTGGAAGATCTGCAAAAAAATACCATTTGCCTGTAAGCAGGAACTGGTAGGACCATAAAATAGAGAAAGTCATATAAAATGAAAAAGCTCTGGGACTTTAGAATTCAAACAAACAGGCACCTGCCATATAACACCCCAGATTTAACAATTGTCAATAAGAAAGACAAAGAAGTCTGGACAGTGGACGTGGCAGAACCAAGAGACAGCAGAACAGAAAAGAAAGAATTGAAGAAGATAACAAAATACAAAGACCTACAAGTAGAAATAGAACAACTGTGGCAAAAGTAAGCAAAGGTAGTACAATAGTGATAGGCACCTCATGTGCAATCCCAAGACAACTGGAGCACCACCTGAACCCCATTGGCATTGACAAATTCACCATCAGTCAATTTCAAAAGGCAATTTTACTCAGAACAGCTTACATCCTGCAGCGATATCTATAACATCATCAAACATCCACATCTGCCTATCCCAGGTCCTTGGAAAGGACTCAACAGGTAGTGCCAAATCCAGTACAAACATGTGGTAGACTATGTGACAAAAAATGACAATGATGATGATGATAATGATAATTCTTCTTAACCATTATAATCTTTCTGATCCAAATCTGTTGTCATTTACTTTTCTTTCCTTCATAGTCAATGTGAACGGAATCCATGTCCCATGGACAGCAGATCATGCCATCAAGCCCCCAAGACGATCTCCTTTCATTATCTCCCTCTGCCATCCAATCTTGCCACTCCCACTCCTCTCTTCCGCATGGCAACTGCTTCGGCCCCTGGACGGCCTGGTCCTGACAGCTTGCGGTTTGGGATTATAGGAGGAAACAGCAGAGGACATTTTGTGATGCAACGCTCAGACAGACAGACTGGAGAACTCATGCTGGTACAAAGGCTACAGGGGCCTCAGACCATAACAGTGGAGGTTGAGATGTCCGAGTACCTGGACCGCACCTTCCAAGCTAAACATGTTTCCAAAATTACCATCTTTGTATCAGTTTATGAGTTTTAAAAGAGGTTGGTTCAGCATGGGAGGAAAAACAATTTTTCATCAGGAATTTTTCTTTGGTTTCACCATTGGCTCCCATGTCAAAGGATCCAGAATTAAGAATGGCATCAAGCATGGCTTGGCTTTCTCACGTGAATTGACATCGTCCATTTCTTTTCAGCATTGCTGGCATATAGTCTTTCTGCTTCTATCCTAGCACAGTTTTAGATGATCCGAAGCCCTTGAAAGTAGGTGAGAATAGCAGTGTAACCTACTACCAATTATTGTTGCTCCACCACACTTTGTACCCCATCTAGCTTCAACTTGCCCTTTGTGAGCCAATGCAGCATATTGTTCATATACAGTAGACAGCCAGACCTTAACAAGGCTACCTGCATTCCAGAAGACTCTAAGAAAGAATGAATATAGGATCCCTCTGTGTACAATGTACCTAAGCAACAGTATTATCACAATTAAAGATGTCATTCCTAGTTTGTAACATTGCTATATAATAAATGTTGATTTGCTTGGAAAACAGATACCTATCAATGGATAAATTATGGAGGTAAATCTGATTTTTATCAGACTTCTTTCCTAATAAATGCATGTTCGACTAGAGCAGCATTTCTCAACCTTGGCAACTTTAAGATGTCTGGACTTTAATGTCCAAAATTGTCCAGCCAACATCTTAAAGTTGCCTAGATTGTGAAATAGTAGAATAGGTTACATATTTCCCTAACAGAAGTGTTGTACTTCAGGATCATAATGTTTGGAAGAAATTAATATCTGCCCCAAATTCAATGCTATACTCCAGAACTCAAATTGAAAGTTTCCATTTTTATCTCTGAAAGAACAACTTTCAGCAAGGTTTTGAAAATACCAGTTTTTCAGCCTGGGTTATGTACTTCATTTAATGCCATTTAATATTATAGCATTACAAAAAGTAGTATTTTACACTATTTTTTGCAATCTAGTAACATTAATTTAGCATAAGTTTTACTTTTGTTTGTTAGCCAAGAAAATTAGCAGTATAAGAACGTGTTTGTGACTCCTTCAGAAATTTGATTCTGCTCTACTATAATGAAAATATTATTTCCTTTCAAATATTTTCTTTGGGCAAAGAAATGTAGGGGAAAAGGCACTTATTAAATACATTTTTTGTATTTTTCAATGAAATTTTTAGATTTTCTTTTTATTTTTAGATATACCTCTTGGAACTTGATCACAGAAATCTATCTATTCAGTCAAAATTGTTTGCATATTTAGTCTCCAGGCTAGCTTTTTGGTGCATAAATAAAAAAGATTCTCTATAACTACCAATAACAATTTCAGTAAACTTTAGAAGTTTGTAAATATAAATATAAATATATAATCAGCTTTCAAGTTACAATTGAAATAGAAGGCTGCTGAAAATAAAATCACAACAGAACTACCAGTGAGAACTAGATGGGAAAGCAAATCTGGGCCAACAATACAAAATGTTTAAAAAAAAAAAAAGATCGATGTTACTTCTAGCTGTTTTATCTCTCTTCACATATCTAAAGAACTCTCAAATTTGTTTTCTGTCATTCAAGAGAATAGAAAATGAGCCAATAATCCTTATTTATAAAGAATAAACAATAAAACTGTCAGGCAAAATTCCATTCCATCTGGAAGGACAAAATATTTACATTTATTATTTGGTTATTTTATTTTACTATCTATTAGATTTTATTTGTGTGTTCCTTTGAGAGGAATTCACAAGAATAATAACCTAATTATGTTTAGGCTTTATGTCTTTAAAAAGTCTAAATAAACCATTTATTCATTCTTCTGGAATGCTTGCTTAATATTTAGCTGTGGAATGTAATTTCAAAACTCATCAGCTTATATCAAAAGACTACCGCAGCAATCTATTTGTCATGATCTAGCAGGGCCAGGTCATGCATGGAAAAACATTTCCATGCCAAATAATTTCATTGCAGAAATGGACTCCAGCAATGCATATCCATTACTAAACAATCATCCCTGAATGAGTTAAGGATTCAGAAAAATTGAATCCAGGCAATTGTATTTGTTTTTCCCCCATCTACTCTGTGCATAGTTTGCAAGTATTAGGGCTATGTAGCACTATGGATGCATAGTGGTGCTTTTAATGCACAAAAGCATGAGTCTATCTGCAGTCTTAAGCGACCATGTCTTTTCCTGAGATTACACAGCTGTCCCTTCAGCTGCCACATCAAAAGATTTTGCTATCTAAACAGTTGAAAATATGTATTGAATTCTCTGCATTCAATGAATTTTTCTGGAAGTTTGAGCCTCCAAGATAGTGTTAAACTCCTATACCCTATTGAAAGGTATATATGTTGATTAAGAAAGATTTCTTACATCAAGCACCTAGCCCACAATTTTCTCCTGTGCAGAAGGATCAAGGATTCACTTTATGGAGAAATAAAAATTCAAGATTAAAATCATATTGTCTGCTCTCTTCTGGCTTCAGTGTAGTGGAGTTTCTTAAAGGAAGACTCTGTATGGTTGTTCAGTTTCTACAACATGAGTTGCCTTTTTGCTATCCTTGGTCCTGAAAAATTGCATCCTGTACATCACTTACAATTGCTGACTCAGACAACCCCCATATGAGATCAGCCAGATATCTACCATATCTATATAAACCCATACTTGATTTTGACACTCAATTGGCTTTCTCTTTCAAGGCATTTTTCTCCCAGATTACTTTTGCCTTTAGTGAGAAAATGATTAGAAGGTGCCATTGATATGCAGATTTTAGAAAACTTGCTACAGGACAGTCCTTCAAGTCAGCAGAAATCTATCCTAAAGCAAATTCTCTGCCTTCCTTACACTAAAATTATGTGCTCCATTTTCTAGCACTTGTTCCTTGTTTCAATTATCAGTTGCTGAATTTGATTAACTTTAGATGCTATCATATATTGCATTATACTTCTTGTCACAGTACGGGTAGTCCTCAGCTTACGACCACAACTGAGCCCAAAATTTCTGTTTCTAAGCAAGACAGTTAAGTGAGTTTTGCCCCATTTTATGACCTTTCTTGTCACAATTGTTAAGTGAATCACTGCAGTTCTTAAGTTAATAACATGGTTGTAAAGTGAATCTGGCTTCCCCATTGATTTTGCTTATCAGAAGGTCACAAAACCCCAGGATACTGCAATCATCATAAATAGATGCCAGTTGCCAATAGAAATATTAGTTGGGAGGAGAAATATTATTCAAGTTATAAAAATGACAAATACTGTAACTACAACTAAAGTTAGCAAAAAAAACAGTTACAAATCCCACAAATACAATGGCCTCTCCTTCGGGCCAAAGAATCATGTTGGGGAAAGAAAAAGGAAAAACAGAATTGGCAATGAACCCACAGAGTTTGCAGATAACATTACAAACAATTCAAGAAACAATGATGATGACCCAAGAGGCAATAGCAAATAATCATGAAGAAATGAAAACACATCTTAAAGAAATTAAGAATGATATTGGAAAAATGAGAGATGAAATTAAAAATATGAATGATAAGATAGGTAATATACAACAAACAATGATGGAAAATGAACAAAGAATTCAAAAAGTTGAAACAAAAATGGAGCTTGTTGATAGTAAAATAGAAGGGATGATAAGAAATCTGATCAAGCAAATAGGGAGTTGATTGAATCTATTACTTTTCTGGAAATGAACAAAGCTTCATTTTGTTTAAGATTTCAAAATATTGTTGAGGAAAAGGAGGAAGATTTGGGAGAAAAGATGGCAGAGATTTTGGCGGTGATTTTAGGCAAGGAAAAATTGGAAGTAAAAAGAGACATGGATGAAACATATAGAGTATACACAAATTATGCACGAAGGCATAGATTGGTGAGAGAGGTTCATATAAGGTTTACTAGAAGATCAATAAGGGATGAAATATATAAAAAAACAAGAGACGAATCAATAATGTATAAGGGTAAAGAAATAATTGTATTAAAACAAATACCACGTAATATACGAAATCAGAGATGAGAATAGCAATTTTTAACGACTCAATTAATTAAATATAAAGTTAAGTTTCGTTGGTTAATACCTGAAGGCATACTTTTAACTTGGCACGAGAAAAAATACAAGATAGATACACTTGAGAAAGCACGGGACTTTTATGAGAGTTACTTTTCACAAGGAGAAGAACAAGAAAGTAGGGAAGAGCCGGAGAGTAAAAGTTATGATGAAGATCTATTAGAGGAAGTTGATCGGGAGCGAGAAATACAAAAGTTACAAGAAAGAGAAAGGTTAGAAAGAGAAGCAAAAGGAAGACTTATAGAGACAAGAAGTATAAAACAAAATAAAAACAAAAAAATAGATCAAGTTAAAAATGGGAGACGTAATTAAGCTCTTTTCTATAAATATTAAAGGATTAAATATATCAAGAAAAAGAGTTTGGGCATTTAACAATCTAAGGAAATTGGATGTAGATGTGATGTATCTTTAGGAAGTTTACATAAAATAGGATTATGGAAAATTACTAGAGAAAGTAAAATTTAGAAACATTATACACAATATTAGCATAAAACAAGAAAGGAGGAATTATTATATATGTCAAAGAAAAATAAAATTAAATAAATATACTTGGATGAAAAGGGGTGAATTTTAATGTTGGAAATAGTATTAGAGTAAAAACAGTATATGCACTAAATAATATGAGAATATTTGTATGATCACCATGCTTAGATGGAATTCCTGTCGAGTCTTATAAAAAATATGAGTGTTACTACAATGAATAATGTTGGATTCCTAGTAAGTGGTAGAATATGAAAGAAGGAAAATGTAAATAAGAAACAATGGGGCAATAAGGACAAATATTTCAAAGAAGAAAGAGGGGGAAATGTAAAGAATAGAAGAGTACTGTTACAAATTGTTATTAACGAAAAAGGATATATTACGTGTGTATGTGTGTAATGTTTGTTGTGCTTTGTTTTGTTTTGTTGGTCTAAAATAAAAATTAAAAAAAGAAATATCTGTTGGGCTATGATATGGGTAGTTTTGCTTATCAAAGTACAAACATTTATCTGGAGGTAATGGGAATTGCTTTAATGTCATGGTAATAAACAGACAGGGTGGGAGACAGTTTTACTTCTTTACTTTACCTTGCTATGGAATAAGCCCCATTCAACCTTTCTGATGTCTGGTATAATAGAAGCTTGCAATGAGATGAGAATCTTTTGCATAAGCTCCAGTCATTACGTCCATGAGACAGACCCAAAAGTATGTTAACTTAAAAAGCTATAGAATTGCCTGCTGTAAAAGCTTCAACCATCTCTTAGCAAAATATATTTCTATCTCAAATGCAAAATGCTACATCTAGCATTCCTTGAGTGATCTGTTTTTCCATTCCTGATTATTACATGTGACACATCATGATATAAAAATAAACTGAGAGGATGATGTGTCACCAGATTTTTTAGTTTGCTAATCCTGAAGTACTGTGTCTCTCTGTAGCAATTTGCAGGAAAGATTGTTCAATGAATGTTTATGTTGTGAGTGAGCTCATATGGAAAAATGGTATGTTGAATCAATTTTAAATGACCAAGTTCATAAAAACATACTAATCCCAACCCATCATTTACAAATCACAATGAGGGTTCACACAAAATCGGGCAAATCACATTATGTATTAGTGTGTAGTCTGAATCAGACTCATGCAACAACCAGGGGAAGAATAATCACTGTTACCATTGTTTGTGAAATGTCTCAACAATAAAAGATTTTTTCAATATTTCTTAATTATCTGAATATAAATGATGTGATTTCTTACATTCCGCCCAAGATAAGAAGTACATCTCCAGAAAAGTAGGCTAAAGAAAGTAAGAATAATGTTTAGACACACTAATTTTGTAGAGATGGACAGACATTTAGAAACAGTGATCGTTAGTTAAATAAAAATTCATGGAATCTCACTGTAATGGTGAAGATTCTAAAACCAATCTGCCTACTCAAGTCTGCTGCTCAGATACAAACTGCAATTCCTCTCTGCAATTTCTTCTTTTTCCTTCTCTGTTAATGGAAAGTTCTTTGTACCTTCCCACATTGTATTGTCCTTCGCTTTGCTTTTTCATTTTCCTCTGGACCCTCGAGTCTCTGTAGAGCAGTGGTTCTCAACCTGTGGGTCGGGACCCCATTTGGGGTTGAATGACCATTTCACGGGGGTCGCCAAACAACACAGTCCGCCATTTTTTCCCCCTTTTCCTTAGCTGTGCTACTCCCTTTTATTCTATTGGCTTTTGAAAGCCAATAGAATAGACTCTCTTGAATAGAGTCTAATTCTATTGGCTTTCAAAGCCAATAGGAATTGTCCAGGCTGTCTCTGCCCTGCTGAGCCCGCCAAAAGTCCCATTCTGCAAACGGTGCTGCACCAGTTGAGTAGTTCTCGATTTACGACCAGTTGAGTAGTCCTCGACTTACGACCGGTTGGGGGTCGCGGCATTAAAAAGGTTGAGAACCACTGCTGTAGAGGAAAAAGGCCTTCTTTTGTTTGGCTGTTTTCTCTGCTGCTGGCTGCAGAACTTCCAACATGCATGTGGTTCCTCTGTTCTTCTCCCCCATTTGTTTCAAGATTGCAGATTTATCACAAACTCTGCTGTGGGGGAAGAGTTAAATAGGAGGTGAAGAAGACAGCACAGGTACCTGCCATTTTTCTAAGCACCCTGCTCTTCCGCAATATCAAATTCTTTTGTACTGTTAGAGATCTGGGGCAAACAGAATGTACAGAAATATATAGAAATGCAGCCAAATTTATTTTTAAAAAGTCCAGCATGAGTCAACCACACAATTCTCTGGAAATCTAATTAACAGAAACAATAAATTACAGCATGCAGCTGAAGACTTGATTTTGGTGGCATAGTAGCTCCTCTTGAATATTGCAAGTTGGAAATACATTCCAATGTTCCTTTGTCCCTTAAATGCTAATAACAACAATATTTTACTTTCTTAAATGCAGTAAAAGCAGGGTTAACTTCACTGGCAAGGTGAGGCCACCATCTCAGAGAGCAGACAGTGGAGAAGGGCAACAAAAACATTGACCTCCCTTACATGGCAGCAAAGAAATACAGAAAGTTTAACACTTTATTCTCATTGAGTATAGTTGTTTTTTGTCTGGTAATTCTCAGGTATACTCCTGCTGATTTGGGCCTATAACAGTGATACCTGGTCAAATAAGAACCATTTAATTATATAGCCCTGGGCAAATGATGCTTTCTAAAGCTTCCTTCTAATTTGAGGTGTTATCAAGAAAAAAACTTCCTCCTCCCTCCCTATTATTGTTCAGCAGCATTCCCAATGCATATTTTTTCATGAACTGTTCTTTTTCATCCTCCTTCTTATTAACACTGCTCATCATTAACACTGCTTATCCATGTAACAGTCATAGAATTGTTATCCTTAGATGAGAGAAAAATTGGCCTGTCCTGCACCTTCCAGGTGCAGGTAAGTACGTTGCTCTCTCCTTGGGAAGTCAGGGTTGAGGGTTTGAAGGCAGAATTTCTTACCCCAGTCCTATTGAATAGCCTCCCTCCTGAGGTGAAAAATCAGTGCCAAAGCCCAAACAAATAACTTTACCTTTTTTAAAAATAATTTATTTAAATTTTAATAGCGAGAATAAAAGAAAATACAAACTAAACTCAGAAAGAGGGGAAAGTAAACAGAGAATAAAATACTCAAAAATACAGAAAAATAATATAGAAAAAAGGGAAATGGAAATAAAGAATTAGCTTCCAATCTTCATCACAAATATAATAATTCATCATGCTCTATAGCGGTACATACAAATACAAGTATCTTTTCTGAACACTTATTCATATTAAATCTATAAATCATTTACATTTCAATGTCAGCAAAAAGTCCATGAAGGAATTCCAGATTTATACAAATATAACTCATTTTAACAAATAAACCAACTTATATTTTTTTCTTGCTTCTTACAGTCTTAATCTTTAGTTCATTCTGTAGAAGTCTTCAAACTTTACTTTCCAGGCATTACAGAATATTTTCTTTTTTCCAGTTATTAGAGACATTGGTTGAGAATGCAATTACACAATTCTTTAGGTTGAGTTCTAAATCCAAGCCATACTTTTCAAAAGTTCTAATACTTTTCAGTATGTATAAAATTTACTATTGTGAGTTGAATGAAATTAGACTATTGGCAGAGCCAATCTATATTTGATCATCAACTGATGAATTTTAGTATTAAAGTATTAAAGAATAAATGTTATGCTCAGTAATTGTAGACATCTCATTATTTATAGGGTTCTTCCATTTAAAAATCAAATCAGCTTCAAGCAGGAAGTCCACATTCCAAAAAGTTTTTTAATCCTGATGTAGACTTTAATGAAATTTTCAACCATAATATGTTTGTTTGTTATGGTTGTTAAGCATGTTACTAAGTTATACATACTGAAGCCTGGTTCCTGGAGAGGGTTTGCAGTACTGAGAAATTTTGTTAGCCAAACCACACAATTTTAACTACTTTGCATTTAATAAAAAGTGCCATTCATTAGCTTCCCATATGCCAACCATTTTTTCTTGACAACATAGAATGCATGTAATTATGGCTAAGCATTTTTGGAGAGCTTATTTTTTCCATAGCTGTCTATGAATTGAGCATTTATTTTACATTTGCAAGAGAAAAAACAATGACTTCAAAGTATACTATTAGATATATAAACTAAGAGAATACAAAATCATTATTTTGGATATAGTAAGCAAGCACTGTACTTAAATATAGTTCCTCTTTTCTTTCTCAAATGGTGAATATTACATAATCTATTTTAGTTTTATAACGTAGAGAGTACTGAAAATATTCTGGAATTTGAATCTCAAAACAATTAATATAGAATTGTAATTGTATAAAATAATTATTTTTGTAACTCAATAGGAAGTTTTCCTGCACAATTCTCCTGCACTGAAGCAAATGGAAGTAACTTCACTTTGATGGATATTTCTATATGAAAAACATTCCTCTGGGTTGTATCATATCTTTATATTCTTTAATGTAGTCTCCCACAATCTGGTACTTTCCAAGGTAAGACTATGGTATTAGTCTAATTCTTGGATATAATCCATCAGGAAAGCATCAGATTATTATTTTTTAAATAAATCGTAATGGACTAACTTAACACAACCTGCACAAAAACTATAATTTGGTTTAATGTAATATATGAACCTATCTATAGATGGCACAGATTTCTTATCTCCATTACTTTATAAAACTTAGATAAAACTATTAAGAGTTACTAGATAGTCTAAAAGCTGACTCCAAATGCTATTATTCATATGGGAGGGTAGGGGGCATGCCACAATGTTTAAAAAGTATATAATAATCTTTCAGTAAGTTTGCCACAAGACTCCTTGCTGAATTTCTTCTTCACTGTAAAATAGTGGTTTCTCTGTACTGAGTATTATCAGTATTTTGTTAGGAGAACTACAAATTTTTCCATCTGAATGGCTGTACTTTTGTTTAAAAACCATAAAAAGCTCAAACATGCCTCCTGGTGGACAAAAATAAATAATAAACTTTTATCAAGATAGACTTATGGTAGCAATAAAGATCCCCTCCTTCCCCCCCCCCCACTTCTCCTTTTAAGTGTGTTGGGGATGCAGTTAGGAATTAACAGTTTAACACATCTAGAAAGCACAAGACTGAAAAAAAGCAGCAATAAAGAAAATAGACAGAGTCTGCATTCATTCATTCATTCATTTATTTAAAGCCTCGTACAACACTAAAGTCTGTACAGCAAATCACTCCCAGAGGAAGAAATGGCAAAATGAAGATAGCTATGCAAAAACAGAGAGGGCCATAGTGAAGAATGAAGAGTCATTGAGTAAATTGGCTCTTCCAATCTCTCTAAATAAAGAGAGAGACAGAAGATTGTCCACAAATGCTCTAAGCAGTTGCTTTTCTTGAGGAGACCAAACAACTGTGGTCTCCAGAAGGTTTTGCATACTGGGAGATGAAGGAATAGCCATCTTGCTCACACTTTAGTTGGTGCCTTTAAAATGACAGTAAGTTTGTATATTTGCTTTTCTAATTACTTTCTGAAATTGCTTGTTAACTGCTTTTTGGCTATTAGAAATCCATGGAATGACAGGTCTGAAAACATTAAGTGAATCTACCTTCAATGCTTAATGAAGGAAAATGAAATATACAGCAAAAGCTAATTGAAACTTTGAGTTTATAAAGTTATCAGCCAATTAAGGCCCAGATAAATTTGAAATAAGATTTTGAAATTAATTATAAGTAATCCTTCCTGTGAGAAAGTCATTTATTTTTTTTCTAAGATATAAAAGAAATAAACAATTTTAAAAACTGGACACTAGAAAAAACTAATGATTTTAACCAAAGAAGAATTATCCCAATTAACCAAATGTAACAAAGAATTACAATATTGGAAATATGGATACTTTTGAAAAATGAAATCTGAACTTAATATCAGCAGTGTTTGCTTCTATGGACAGACTGTATCCAAAAGATGTTTTAGAAGAAAGGGCAGAAGAGGAACAAGCTTTATCTGACAGAGTTGACATTGAAAGTGGACCTAAAAATAACAGACTATAAGAATGACATGGAAAAAGACATTTCATTGGACATACAAAAGAAATTGGTTGATGTTTTAAAAATCAAAGGGAATTATAAATAATAAGAGAGCAACCTGAATAATTCTTTTGTATTGGACTTTTACAAAAGAGTTAAAGCTTGGATGAATCTTGTGAGAAGGGGTAAAAATTAAATAAAAAGAAACCAAGTTCTACAACACTGCATGAATGGACGAGTCCCTTCCCAAAACAAAGAGGACTGAATGCCATGAGGGAACTCAAAGGCTTCTGGATAATCAATAATTCAGTTTGTGTGTTCAGGTGCAACCATTTCATCTCATCCAGAATTTTGATAGCCTTTACTCATCTGTACAAAACAATCACTGTATTTCCTTCCCAATCTGAATGGCAATGAACAACTGGGTGTCACCAGTATTGATGACACCTCACCCCAAGTCAATGATTTCCCCCTATAATACCACACATATTTTGAATAACATGGAAGGGGAAGATGCAGCAGTACTTTGTCCACAAAAGAGCAGGGAGTTGAGCATACAGCCCCTCTAATATCAGCTATAACTGCCCATTCAGAACAAAGTAGAATCATTGTTATATAGCTCAAGGCTGATAGATGCTATGGCTCAGGAGAGCCATAGTTCTTCATCCAAGTCCCATTGGAGGTTATCCACAAAAGTGAACTCTAAAATCTCCTAAAACATTTCCTATAGGAGCCATTTTGTGAAGACTATTTGAACTATGTGATTTAATCATTCTGACCGACCATTTTAACAAGACACTTACCAAGGGCCCTTAAGACAACAGATCTAGCTTTCAAATATATCTGCCCAGTCTAGTATAAATTAGTACATGCTGGGATAATAGATGGTACTCTGAATGATGCTCGAATTGTTACTGGATGCCTTAACCTACCTCTCGAAATAAGATCCAGTGGAGGAGCTGGCACCTGATGAAAGCTGGGAAATATGGAAATCGGTGAATAGACTCTACATGGGTATAGCAAGATCCAGAGATATTCTTAACAAATGGGGCTATCTAGTGACTTCTGTTCTTTGAGATTGTGGTGACATGCAGACAACAACACATACGTATACCTGCCCTTTGTGTTCTGATCAGTATACACTTGAGGACTTCATGGCAGTGCAACATTCAATGTTGCTAGTTTCTGGGCAAGATCTGTTTATTTTGTACATATTTCAATCTTGTATTTTATATTTTATGTCATATAGTATGCCTTATTTTAATTGTGATGCTTCTGACACAAATAAATAACATTAGTATCTGTTCAGATGTTATCAACCTGAGCTGTGCAGCACTTTAGATTTGATTCCAAAGAAGAACTTTTGACTATGTAGTAGCACATGTAGCATAGTTCTTCAACTTCTTAAAGTAGCTACATTCTTTTCCTGAGATTACATGGCATCTGCTGAGGGTCAAGAAGCCTAAATAATAACATGAAATGATTGCATGCATCTTATTTATATGGAACTTCATTCTTTATTATCTCTGACAACCTGTAATACTACAGATAAGACAAATGTATTATGAAGTGAAATGCCTTCAGTTATATTTCTTTGGAGTATTAACATAGACTGAACAACTAGAAGAAAAATAAAATAAGATTGTATAGCAGATACAACAGCTAAAAGAATATGCCAAATAAATGTACATTCCTTGCAAAGGATAGTTTTTCTCCTTGAAAAAGCTTTCATCAATCTCTGAAAGACTATTAATGTAGCTTCAGATGTAGCCACTGCCTGCATCAAATGGACGTCCACCATTGATGAGCCAGCTTCTCCATGAGATATTAAGATGCTTAGATGATAGAATCTGGATGACTAATCACCATAAACCATAAATTGGGGGATCCTTCTGATTGTCACTTGTGTTCTGGTCAACTCAGTGCTTGACTATTGAGATGTACTCTACATGTAAGTGCCCTTGAAGATCACTCAGAAGCTTCAACTGGTCCAAAATAAGCAGTAAGGGGCATGCCTTGGTATTCCCATGTAACACCTTTGTGCGACACAGGTTGCATTAGTTGCCAGTTTGCTTCTGGGTGTGATTGAAGTGGCTGATTGTTAGTTGTACAGTCAATCTAATCAGGCAGCAATGTTTTCCTTGAGATTCAAATAGCTTCCACCCAACTGGTGTTTCAAAGTTCCCTGAAGACCTCACTCTTCACCCAAGCAAGGGCCATTGAAACTCTTCTTAGATTGTGGGAGTTATTTTTTCTTTATTCTCATCCAATTTTGTCATTCCTTTTTGATTTTGTTGTTTCCTTATTTTTAGATTTTTAACAATTTGTAAACTACTCTGAGTTGCTGGAAATTGGGCAGCACATAAATTTAATAAATAAATAAAATTAAATAGATCAGAACTATAGACTAGAATGGAAAGCTGGAAAAATATCCTGGAAAAGACAATGGCAAGCCACTCTCATACTGTTGAAAAAAAAAAACTTTATGAAAATGTTCATGAACTCACCAAGGATTGAACTCACCTCCGACATACAACCTTTACCAGGTAAGCATGTAGCACAAAATATTTTATTTCATTTAAGTATGGTTAAAATTAAGTTAGCGCTATTGTTCTCCAGTCACATACTTAATAATCTGTCATCTCAAAAGTTAAAATTTGGTACAACTTTTAGAGCACTGGGTATTGCAGAGTCAGAAGCCAAGCTATGTACCTGCAATATAAAAATGGATGAAGTTGTACTAAAAGGTAAAGTATACTAGACTCAAGTTCAGCTCCTGGTGACAGAATGGACACAAAGATATTGCTTATTTGACAGCAAGAAAGGAGAGCAGGAGAGAATGCTATAAAAACAAGAGAGCTTGCCCTTAACTTCTTCCAGGGTATTTTTTTATTTCCCAGTCCAAGCTACAGCTGAGGTTTCCTAGTGATCTCCCATCTAAATACTAACCAGGCTTGATGCTGAAAGTTCTGCCCTCGCCCTTTTCCGAAGACTTGAGTGAACCCATTTCCCCTTTGTTCTTAGTGCGGCCCTACCATAACTGAGGGTGAATAATAAGTTAAGTAATCACTTTCCCTGCTTTTCTTGTACAAGTACGTTCCTTTCTCATCCTCTGTCAAGCCAAGGCGCTGCCAAGAGAAGCCCAATAGGCGAACCTCTTCGCGCGGAATCCCCTCTGAGAGCGATTGCGCCATCGCCATGTAGTTGCGCACGCTTTTCGCTTCCCTCCCCCCTTTTTTTTCCTACGGGCATCTTGCCCTCGGCGGCGCGAGCCAATGGCAGGCGGGGAAGCCTTTCCTATATCTGATGACGACAGCGAAGCACAGAAGAGCGTGCAACCAAACGCCGCATCGGTCACGGCGACCCGAAAGCTGCCAGGGAGAAGCTGGCTGTTTTTTCTCCCTTCCTAGCCTTCTTCGGCACTTTGTGAGCGACGCCAATCGCCGCCATTTTGTGAGCGTGTCCAGCCTCTGCCCCCACCCCCATCCATTCCGCGCGCGCCATTGGTCCCCTTTTTTTCCCGTCTTTCTCTCTCTTGTAGTGGTGAGCGGGCGGGCGCCATGTTTGTAAGGAAGATATAATCAGAGCAGCTCATCTCTCCGGCCAACGTGTCCCGTCTTCCTCCCTTCCGCTCTGCCTGTTTCTTCCTGCTGCCTCCTTCCTCCGTATGGTCTGTGTGTACCGAACTCCTCCTCATAAGCTGCCTTTAGCTTCCATCTCTTTTTTTCCGTGAGGCGCAGGGCAGCCTCCCCTCGAGCGGCCGTTAAAAAAAGTGCCCTTCTGTATATCTTATGTTTGTGTTCCCCCCAATTCAGTAAATACGTGCGTGAAATCTCGTCCGCTGCTGCACGGGGGGGACACCTCGCGTAGTTGAGCCCTGTAGACGCAGCACTGCCGCTCCCGTGTGTGTGTGTGTATTTGTGTGTGCGCACGAGTGCGCGCCGCCTCCACCTCCTCTCCCTGCGCCCTACGACTGGCAGCAGCGTCCTGCCTTCCTCCCCCTTCCTCCTCCTCCTCCCTGCACACAGGCACAACCAGCACAATGGCCTTTGAAAGCCTATTCTCCAATCCCCCAAACCCAGTTCTTGACCAAAACATGCCCGACTCTGACAGGCAACATGCAGGGGACGAAAGGTCGAGTAACGTTCTTCTCTTTCTCTTTCTCTCTCTCCGCTTCTCAATGGTGATAATTAACAGTGATAATAACTAAGAATGATGGTATGCTATGTGATGATGATGATGATGATGATAATGGTGGTAATAACGATGTCTTAAATGTGCCTAGGTGAATTTAAGGAAAGAAAATGTCTATAGCATTGTATGGGGGAAAGTCACCTTCAGACTGAGGTAGGGGTGGGTTCTTTTTTCTTTTTAGTCTAGATACAAGGATGTCTTTAAGGGTGGGTGATAACGTCAAGGTGCATTTTGCATGAATTTTTTTACATTTCCTTTTTTTTACATTTTTTTCATAAAATGCACTTTACATTGTCTGTATGTAATGTCACTGTTCTTAATCCCCTGTCTCATTGCCATCTGAACTCAAAGGCAGACTATCCCCTCATATATGTTACATATATGAAACTGTATAACAATGTATACACCTTACACATTAACTGGAACTCTTTTTTTGTATGTGTGTATATATGAGGTTTTGTCAGATTTTTCTCTTTGACAGTTTATAATTCTAATTCCATAATCTAACAAACCAGAGGCATTTTCTGGTTTGAAGTCCTGCTCCTTTTCTCTCTTTCTCCCCCACCCCCTCTTTCTCTGTCTCTGTGCAAATGTTTGTTTTCATACAGATATGACTTCCTTCACTAATTTGTTTTTAAACATGTGGAAACCTGAAATTATTTCTCCCACATTCTCCAACATATATGCAAAAATCTTCTTTACATCAAGATTTGTAATGGTGGTCCCATTAACAGACAAGTCTCCTATAATCCCGGTGTCCCTCCACAAGTATGTTCAATACTGTTTTATGAAAGTGATACAAAACATTACATAATCCCTTATTCATGCAGCAACACAGTAAGTAGAATATAGCCTTTTCCCCTCTTCTACAAAGAGGAATACCAAGGAGAATAGTAATTCAAATGACTTGCCCATAGCTACATTGAATCAGGTCTGGGCCTCATATATCATGCCTTCAAATCAGCACTTTTCACTAACATAGTTACAGTGTTTTAAATTGTTGATAAAACAGTGGGTATTTCAAAATGAATACAGCAGTACAGCATTGTTACTTTTAATATTAGTCAACCTGAACTGAACTGTCCAGCAAGATAAAGTTTGCATGTTAATTAGTAGAACCAGAACAAATTATCATATGACTTCCATGATAAGTGACAAACTGTAATAATAAATGCAAGATGCATGTAAAACATAACAAACTTATTTTTCTGTAAAATTAGACATTTAAAAAAAATATTCATGTAGTATATTGATGTTGACCAGCTAATCTAAATCTACAAGAGGATCTGTTTAGATAAGTGGAATTATACTAATGCTAATAAGGACACCTAAGCCTTAGAAATTGTATGACTTTGCAAAATAGCCCCTAATGAAATTATTCCTGTTAACCATGACAAATGCATTAAGAATTCCTTATACTCTTTTCTTTTAACCTTCAAGATGTCTCTAATCAATGAAATATATTTTAAGTGGATAACTTTAAAGTTGGGGTTATTTAATTATTTTTGAGAGAATAGTAGACAAGAGTTGTACTTCCTTATTTTGAAGTTCTCTTTCTCTTTTTCTCTCTCTCTTATTAGAAAAGTCAGGAATCTCAAAACAAGTAGTGAAAGTCCACATTCAACTATTTCAAATAGTTGTCCACTGACTTCCATGTAACATTTTGGAGGAAACAAAGGATGTGCTCTTTTCATTTCAAGAGAGCTCTCATTTTGTTTCAATGAAATGATCTAAAGACAGATCTCAATGTTTTAACCCATCTTAGTTCTTAAAAATACAGCTGCCTATTCTTCTGTTCCATTCTGGCACTGACATAGCTAAATATATCTGGAACAGATAAGATAAATGCTGAAATCATTCACTAGTAACTCTCAGAAACTGCATTTCTTGACTATTGGAGTTAGTGTACAGAGCTTAAATTATAAATATAGCTTATTCATGTGTAATTATTTTAACATTTAAATATTTTAACATTAACTCAAACGACCTGTTTGCTAATACAGTTCCCAAAACATGCATACATTAATCTTTGTCTTCATAATATAAAATAATTTTGAATTTAAGATAACATATGAAATTCAATTAGCATGTCTTTTCACAAGTATAGAACTAGCAGTGACAGCCCCAAGTGTTATATTCCATGCAAGTTCATGATACTGATGTCTTAGAAGGTATCATAAAAATTTACAGCCACATGGAAATATTTGCTACTTCTATAGTTGTCAGATTAAACTAATGTCCTTTTTGAAAATGAATACATCACTAATTGCAAGAAGAGGTTATTGGGTTCAGGTTTCACTGATATGTTTACTATTTTTATATAATTTAAATGTTTTAAGTGAGTAATTAAAAGTTTGGTTAAAGTTTGCTATTAAAAATTTGGAAAGAGCCTTTCTTGGTTATGCATTATCACATTTTAGTTTATTAGCTAAAAATTTTGATGTTTCAAATGTAAAACTATTTATGCTGTAGTTTTATGGAATTCAGTTGAAATAATGGAAAGCATATATTTTTGCATCATTGTATTAGGTAGCTTCTGTTTAGTTTCTATCACATTAAATCTTTTAAAAATCTTAATAGAATGAAGTTAAAAATAGGTTTTGGAAATTTATCTTCAAAACAGTATTTTTTTCTCAAAGTAACAGCATAAGATGTATTCTTGTTACACTGTTACTCTGCTTTTGTAATATGATATACACATAGACATTACTATGGCAAAAGTATACTTTATAATTTAAATATTGTACATAAAGTTCTTGTATGTCTAAACTGTGATTAAAATTACATCAGCTGAGTTCCTGAGGCCAGCGTATTGTTAAATAACTATTACATTAAAGGTATAATTATAGCATCTTACATTTTAAAAAGGTCATCTTGTTTAACTTCACTTTGGAAGCTGGATGTATTAAACACATCTGAATACTTATACATTAAGACTCTTATATAACTGTAGCCTGAAAACTGTCAAAGATGATTTCGTTTATACCCTAGGGAACTTATTGCATGGCTGAGCTAAGTCACTTTTCTGAACACACCCTGTTTCTCTGCCAGCTGTGCCAATGTTTCCATTAGCTGTGTTGAATGACAATTTTTTCCTTTGTTCTAAAATTTTCCTAGTTTTATATGCATTTTAAATTGTCCTTCAACTTGATATTTTCCTGGAGTATTTGATTACAAATCCCAGAAGTTGATATGTAATTTTGGGAGTTATAGTCCAACATTTCAAGGTAATGCCAATTTGGAAAAGGCCAATTTAGATGAGCATAAAAGTAAGGGAGTTAAGCCTCAGTGTATTATTCAGTGTATTATTATGACCTAGAACACTTCATTCTTCAAATGTAGCTTTAACTCTGTACCTCTTACTAATTGTGAAAATAAAGGGTGTCTATAACAATAGGAAATCTTTGTCTGACTATCATACTAGCTTTTGCTGACAGATTTAGGCATCATTTACTAATGTGTGAGATATATGGTTAGTTTATTCAGTAGTAAATAGATTTGGTTTTGGAAGTCACCATTTCAAACTACAAGGCATAATTATATTCTGAAGTATCAATTTGTTTATGAATAACAGTATACCTGCTAACCCAGTGGTTCTCAACCTTTCTAATGCCGCAACCCCATAATACAGTTCCCCATGTTGTGGTGACCCCCAACCACTTATACATCACCGGGTGCCAGGGGCATGGCCAAAGAAAAGGGGGGGGAAATGGCGGACAGCCTTGTTTGGCGACCCCCGTGAAATGGTCATTTGACCCCAAATGGGGTCCTGACCCACAGGTTGAGAACCACTGTGCTAACCCATTTTAATGACTGCCAAATTCCTTAACCCAGTGGTTTTTCTAAAATCACTGTTTTAATTATGAAAATGGTAGCAAACATGATAAAATACCATCTGCAAGCATATCTTGTATTTCTGGGACTTTCCTATGGCCCCACATAGACCCTAAAGGGCACTCTCAGAAAATAAAACAATAGTGGCTGCAGTTTCTGTTCTATCTATCTTTGGATGTGTTTTGAATTGTTTTTAGTATAATTTTTATTGAAGAACTTTTTAACAAGATAAAAAAAATCCAAATATTAGAAAAAAACCAAAGAAACAAAGAATAGTGAATAAGAAAATAGAAGGAATAGAAAAGAAAAAGAAAAAAAAGATTATAAAGAAGCAATTTCCAAACTTTTTGGTAGCAGTTATAAATGCATTTATATTTTACTCTCTTTTTCCAAATTTATATCATGTTTCCTTGTTTCCATAAGCTTTGTGCCCACAGTAAAAAAATGACAATAAAGGTTATCTTATCTTAATATTCAGATTCATAAATCAAAATTAATTTTTCTTTCTTTTTTTTCAGCAAAAAGTCCATAAGAGTTTTCAGGCACTGATAAATATAGTTGCTGATCAAACAAGTTAATTTTGCCACTTTTGCTAGTTGTTTCATCTTTTCCAACCATTCCTCCATTGTGGGTATTTCAGAGTCTTTCCATTTTTATACATATAAAAGTATTACAACAGGAATCATGCATAAAAATAATCTCCTATGGCTCTTTTCTTATTAACTGACTATTAATATCAGCAAAAAAAATATCTGGTTTCAGTTGAATGTTGATCATTAAAATTCTTTGTATCCTTATATGTATTTGAACCCAGTAACGTCTGTTTTTTTTTTACAAGTCCATTATGGATGATAAAATTACCCTTCATATTGTCCACATTTTCAACACAAATTTGAAATACTTTTATACGTTCTAGACAATTTTTCTAGAGTCATATATCAGTGATACATCATTTTATGAAAATTGTCTTTTAAGTTATACCTTAATGTAAGTTTCAATCCCATAAATCATATATTTTCCCAGTTCCGTCAGTATATTGTTCCAAACTTCTTATACCAATTTATTCTAATCTTTTTTCACTTGTTCATCTTCCACTTCAAATTTCAATGAACCTTTATGTACTTAATGCAGTTGTATGTTTATCATTTGTACATAGTTCAGTTTCAAATTCTTGTTCTGATGCTCTATGTCAAATGTCCTATTATCTACCTTAAATTTTTCTTTTAACTACACATATAAAAAAATGAAAACTAAATTCCTCAACAGAAAATTGCTCTCTTGATTTTATCTTATGTTTTCTATGTTCCTATTCTATCAACCCTCTATATTTTAACCATTTTTCTTTATGTATGGATTCTTTCCTTTATGTTTCCTGTGCTGAGATCCATAAAGGCATTTTCAGGCACAGTCAGGGTTTATATCTGTTCCATATTTTCAGCGCATCACTTCTGATATTCTTAAAATCTACATCAACCTTAACTTTAAGTTGTAACATAGAAAACTATGCCAAAATTTTTCCCTTAATACAATTTAAAAAGCATAAATTATAATAGCCATGAATACAATTTTAAGTTAATACAAGCAATTTTAAATTGTTTGAGTCAGTTTGGTATACAGTAGAGCTAAGATGGTTGGTAGAAACCAGAAGATAGTCTTCTAGTCTTCCCTTAAACATGAAATCCAGCTAAGGGACTTTGGATCAGTCATGCTCTTAGCTCATTTCACAAGATTGCTCTGGAGAAAATCTGAAGTGGAGCATTAGTGTATATGCTGTCTTGAATTAAGCAAAAATAAAATAACACATAACTATAATTTATGTAAAGTAAACTTCAGACAAAGAAAATAGAAACTTATAATATTAAAAATAACATTTGGCCTATTTAACTGAGTAAGCTAATCCATTTATAATATATAATATTTCATAATTATATGTTTTCTGCATTTATTGTAATATAATTATATGTTATATAATAAATGGATAATTCATTTAATTTGTTATTTTTTTAGCATTTTTTTTAATCTCATATGTATTACTAACTAAGTTCAGAACAAATTGTATTTTTGTCCCACAACAGCAATTTTGTGATGTAGGGCTAAGAATAGGAATAGAAACTGGTCTCCCTGCATATAGTGTCACAGCTTAATCTTTATACTTCATTGTCTCCAAAAATATTTCTTCCAGATTTTAAATCAAAATGTCTTAATCTTCTAGCAGATGTTGTAATGATTGTACCATTGAAAAAGATCTAAATAATTTGTAATGTTGGATTTTGTTATTTATTACTTTTGCTACTTTCTGTAATCTTCTACAAGTAGTCCTTGATTTGTGACTAATTATTTAACATCCAAAATTATGATGGGCCTACAACAGTGATTAACAAACAGCCTGTAAAGCACTTCAGGCCATCATAACACATCATCCCACATATAAACATATATTCTTGTCACATGACCACATGTTGGGCACAAGCAAGCAGCTTACCTTTAACAATTGTTGGAGATCCCATGGTCACATGACTGCAATTTTTGACATTTTTTGCCAGTTTTCTGCAAAACTGCTCTTTTAGAAGAATCGGTTTGCATTTATGACCATGGTGTTCACTAAATGAGCATAGTGATTTGCTTAATAGCCGCCATTAAGAAATCAGGGCTGGTCACGTGGTGACTTGACTTATGACTGTAACAACATATAACCAGAAGTCTGGTCTTTATTGTGATTGTAAGTCAAGGTCTACCTTTAGTACTTCATTAATATATTTATATAGATATTGGTGATTAGGAATTATATAGTAGTTCTGAACTATTTTGAGAATTAGTTACAAGACATATATTTATTAAAATAATACTAAGAAAATTGCAATTGTATGGTCTGATATAAGAAATATAATAAATAAATATGAAATATAAATATATTTCTAGATGTTAATTTAAGGTGAGCATATTTAAATGTATGTCACTATTTTGACTAATAGACACATGGACATAAAACAATTTTCCATTGCTTTTTGGAATCTTCCAAATTCTTATTTTATCTAATTTTATCTTTCTTAAGCAGAGAAGATGGTGAACTTGAAGATGGTGAAATAGATGATGCTGGACTTGAAGAAGATAAGGAAGAAGAAGGCACAAAAGTTGAAGATAAACCTAAAAATGAAAAATCTCATAGAAAATCACGAAAGAAGCGCAAAAAGGAAAAAGAGAAGAAAAAATCAAAAAGGAGAAGACGAGATAAACACAAGGTATGAAGTGTTCTTCAGCATGCTGTGCAGTTTATTTCTAACTAATACTTATTTATCCATTTAAACAAAACGTAAAACTATACTGGAATGCCTTTGCTTTAATTAGTTCACTGAAAATTAACTCCTTCAAAAGGTGAGGTTCCCTACAGATTACAAAATAGCCTAGAAAGCAGTCCACTGAGCTATCATCACATGCCGCTTCTAACATTCTTACTCCCATGTGAACTGAAATAAGTACTGGCAAGGCTCATTAAGTGTTCCAATACTGCATAAAACTATATGAACAACCTACCTTAATTGGTGATAAACCAGTCCTTGTGCTAATTTGCCTTGTATAACCCTAGCTTGCACTCATTTTTGTTCAGATATACTTACTCGTAGTAATGTCAATCATACGGATAGATGTGTATGAAATCTCTCTCTCTCTCACACACACACACACACACACACACACTATATGATCATACTATAACAAGCATTGTATAAATCAGTGGTTCTCAACCTGTGGGTTGGGACCCCATTTGGGGTCGAACGACCATTTCACGGGGGTCGTCAAACAAGGCTGTCCGCCATTTTTCCCCCCTTTTCTTTGGCCACGCCCCTGGCACCCAGTCATTTATAAGTGTTGGGGGTCACCACAACATGGGGAAATGTATTATGGAGTCGCGGCATTAGAAAGGTTGAGAACCACTGGTATAAATGATACTATTCTTCCTTTTCAGCATAATTCACCTTCTAGTGATGATAGTTCTGACTACAGCATTGACTCTGATGCTGAACGTACAGAAAGATCTCATAAGAAAGGAGCTGGATTCTATAGAGATTATGAGTCTTCATTCCTTCAGGTACAGACAGCTTTCAAAATGAACTTCATTTTGTTTATTTTTCCACACTATTTAAATAATTGCTTGATCTTACCCAGACTAACGTCCATTTTTCTCAAAAGAGGGAATTAATTATATTGAATTAATTTAGAGAAATAAGTGCATTGTATCATTTTCAAAATATGTAATTATAGTTTATTTATTTATTCCCTAAATAAATCTAGTTCCTTGTTACTCTTTTCACAATGTGGAAGTAAGGGATAAGTACTGTAAATATAATACTGGTAGTCCTTGACTTACAACCACAATTGGGACTGGAATTTCTGTCATTAGTCATTGCAGTCATAAATCAGCTTAGACTCAAATTTATGGCAATTTTACAGTGGTCTTTAAATGAATCACTGCACTTGTTAAGCAAATCATAATGTCATTAACAAAATCCAGCTTCCCTGGTGGGTATTTTTTTTCAATTTTTTTGCTGGGAATTGGCAAAACGGATCACAGATTGAAATCACATGATCACAGGATGTTGCAATTGGCAGTAAATGCGAGCCAATTGCCAAGCTACTGAATTGCAATCATGATCGCAGGAATGCAGCAGTCATAAGTGTAAGTAATTTTTCATAAGTCACAACTCACTTTTTCCAAGGCTGTCATAACTTTGAACCATTGTTGAATGAATGGTTGTAAGGCACGACCACGAACGTGAAGCCAAACAATAGCAATGCAGCTCACCATCTCACATCCCCATGCAACTCAGACTAACCTGAGCACAACAAAGTCCCCACCCAAAGAGAACACTCCCCCAACCAATCAGAGCACAGCCAACCTCCCCATCCAATCAGAGCACAACCAACCCCCCATCCAATCAGAGCACAGCCAAGCTCCTAACCAATCAGAACACACCTCCATCCAATCAGAACACAGCCAAGCTCTCATCCAATCAGTTCATACCCCCCACTGACAGTTAAAAGGAAGAAACAGCTACGATCACACATTGCTCCTAGAAGCACAAAGCCGAAAACAGCAGCCTGAAGATGACGAATGAGATTTCGTCGAAACGTCGCCAAGACACTTCCAATTTGACGCAGGAGAAAACCCAAATAACCAAAGACCTACACACACACACACACACACACACACACACACACACACAATGTGGGGGGAACATTTTAAAAAATTAAACCCATTTCATTTTCAAATCTTTCAAAACTACTATTTACTCATAATTAAATGAGCAGGCACCTTACCTCAGTAACTATCAATTTGTCTGGGGTGATCATCGCTAGAAACAGTTTCTTCCCATTTTTAAAAATATGCTGGTAATATGCTGATAGTATATTTTTTAAAAATTACAGTAAAGAAAACATTAGAAGAGTAAATGCTACAGTATATATACTAGTAAATCTCAGGTAGAATCTTGATGTGTCTTGTTACACCATATACTAGAGATTTGTTCTTAATTAATATTCTCATACACTTCTAATTATCTTTATCTTTCATCCAGCATGGGCATATTTCAGGAAAATATACCCCTTCGCAGAAGATACAGCATAATAAAAAAACAAAAAGCAAAGATTATGATAATTACAGTGATGATTTTTGTTACAATGAAGATGAAAAAGAAGATTTTGCTGACCAGTTAAAGCAATATAGACAAGCTAAAGAAACTAATGAGTTAGAAGCTCCAATTTCAAAAGAACCAGGGAAAAAGCAAGGGATGAAAGGGATTCACAAAGGTAAGTCAGTTATCAAAGAACTATTAGATCTGAGTTAGTACCTACCTACGCAGAATAGAATACAGAGTCATGTTATTATTACAGTACTTCACTATTAATCCATTAGCAGCAATAGTCATTCACCATTAATCGTGTCACCATTATATTTCCAGTGAGTTTAATTATATTTTTATAAGTTCATTTACCTTATGACTTTTGTATTCCAATCAACTGCTTTTTTATATCCAAAAAGGTTCATTCTGTTATAAGTAATCAGAAATTTTAACATAAGAGAACATAGACAACATAGTTATATTATTCCAGTATGACAATTACATATTAATAAAAAAGGAATTATATGTGGAATGCTTTTACCTGAAGTCCAGTTAATGTAATTTTTGTAAGTAAGCATGTTAACTTGAGAATGGCTAGCATTATTCCTGCCATTGATACATATTCTTTGATGCCTTTCAGTGAAAAGTGTGCTTTTTCTTAAGAAAAAGAGAACTCTGCTCAGTTGAAGATCAGGTGCAAAGCAGAGAATTCTTTTATCTTTATTAAAGGAAAGGAAAACAGAGTAGGAGCAGATATTTTATTACTGAAAAGTCCCTTTCCCATACAGTTCTTGAATTCTGTCATGTGTTTAGTCATTCTAGAGAAATGAATTTTTCCCGTAAATTAAACATGGAACATAGATCTGAAAAACCTGAAACTTTGGAGATTAAATGAATTGATTTTGCAACTTCAGTCTTATGTGTAACGATTAAATAGTCTTGTACAAAAAGATTCCAAACTGCTCCTCAGCTAATACACAGAAGAAGTACATTAAAAGCACAATTAAGTTTTTCCTGCCTAAAAAACAATGTGAATACTTACTTTACTGTTTAACCAAATTTAAGTTATCAGAACATTAAAATTGGAAGTGGACAATTTCATTATTTTCAGAAAGCACTCTGTTTCTTAGATGGTAGTTGATTGCACTTAATTATATAGCTGGTAATCAAAACAGCTTCAAGTAGGCTTAGTAATAACATTAATTTGTTTATTTAGAACATATTTATCCTATAGGGTCCCATGTAACTCCCAAACAAAAAAAACAGAATTACAAAAATAGCAATAAAATATTTAAATATTAAATAAAGCAAGATTATATATGAGTGAGATGTATGTCTATTTGTTTATATTTTATATTTTGATAAGTTAAATAAAATTATTTAAAAAATAAAGCCTACATAAATTTATCAAACAGACATTTTTATTTCAGCCATACAGATTGTGGAGTTTTGAAATGTACAAAGAATACTCTGAAAATTATTTCAACATGTAGTATTGATACAGAAGCAATCCATTAAATATCCTGCCCATAAACCTTTCAGATCTTTAAAAGTCAATAATGCCAGCACTTTTGATTAAATTCAGAAACAAATTATAAGCCCATGCAACTATTTTAGCAAGAGAGTTTTACACTCCAATTATGCAGCATTTAGTAGTAAATGAACTGCAGTCTCCTAGACCATTTCAGAATATTTAAAAGTAGCTTTATATGAAGCACATTGCAATAGGCCAGAAGTAATATAATTAAAGTACTGTATGCGTTATTTTGGCAATAAGCTCAATATGGCCACATAGTAGTATCTATCTATATAATTTATATAGCCACCCATTTCATGAATATGTCTCTGGATGGCATACAGTTGAAACAAAACAGTTAAAAACAGAGCCTTAAAAACTATTTTAAAATTAAAAATATAAATACATTCACTGGAGAATGAATGGGAGAGTGCATTCAAGATCCACATAGTTATATTAAACTCTCTATTTATATTGGATCCCCAAGCCTGCTGACAAAACCATGTTTTAAGAGATTTCCGGAAAGTCAGTAGGGTCTACCTAATCTCATCAAAGCAGCAGAGAAGGCTCACTTTTGGGGTCCTGTCAGATGGAACTCCTTAGCAGATGTAATTTGTAACCTGCCCTTCCTGCCAGACCTGATTGGATAGCTAGATGTTGTTCCACAAATGACCCAGCCCCATGCCATGTAAGACTTCAAAGGTAAAAAACAGCATTTTGAGTTGAACCTGGAAGAAACTGGCAATCACAGAGCAGAGATGTAAGATATGCGAGTTCTAGAAGCACACGTTTGGTCTCACCACTGTATTTTGTACCAGTAGAAGCTTGTGAATACTTCTCAAAAGTAGCCCCATGTAGAATGCATTTCAGTAGTTCATTCAGGAGGAGATCAGGGCATGAGTAATTCAGAATAGAGCCTCCCAATTGAGGAATAGACACAACTGGCGCACAACACAAAGTTGTGCAAAGGCTCTCCTAGTCACAATGGCTACCAAACAGGAGTCATGAATCCAGAAGAACCCCCAGATTGTACACAATGTCTATTTGGGGCTATGCAATCCCAGACAACATCAAAGATGATACTTTCTCAGATTGAGGAGACTTCTAAAACTCAGTCTTGCTAGAGTTCAGCTGAAGCCTGTTGTTCCCCATCCATTTCCCCCACAGCCTCCAGTCAATGAGACTGATATCAATTGCACGCTTAGTTTGCCAAGGACAAAGATGAATAATTGAGTATCATCAGCATATTGTAGTGATCATATCTCATCCCATGGCAATAGTTATTCTTTCCTAGTAGTTTCATGTAGATACTAAACTGGAGTGAAGAGACTACTGAATCTATGGAATCCTACATAGCAGGGGTCAAGGGAGGGACCGCTCACTCCCAAATAACACTAACTGATTTCAGCTGGGGAAGAAGGAAGAGACCAAGCACAATACAGTGCCATCCACTCCCACCTTATGGAGCTGATCCAGAAAGATACCATGGTCAATGGTATCAGAGGCCACCAAGAGGCCAAGTAGAGCCATGATATATGGACTATCCCCATCCCACTCCTACTAGAGATCATCCAAAAGCATACTTCTGTTTCAGTTCCATGCCAAGGTCTGAATCTTCACTGAAAGGAGTCTAGATAATAGATGGTCTATTATGATGCATGCAGATTTGGGGACATAATATTTAAGTATGGAATAACTTACAAAATATTTTTCTTATATAAAAATTATAGGCAATAAAATTATAGGCAATATAACTTGCCATGAGTTGCCAAAATTAATTAAATTGTTTTATAAACTAAATTTTGAGAATTTTCCTAGCAACTTCCCGTTCACACATATGCCTATGCAAAGCAGTACTTTTGAAGGGCTGCCTTGAGTACATTCTTTCAAATGAAATGGTGCTTCAGTGTGGAAAAATGAGGTGCTCAGTCTTGGTACCTCCATTGGAAATTTTGAGGCTGGCCAATTTGCCTCATCAGAAATGTTTAGATGGCCAGCTAAGTAGCTGTCTCAGATAGCACGGCAACTCCATTGGGATGAGTTTTGCAAGGCTCTGAAGACCTGGTTTTGCCAATGGGCCTGGAGACCCCAGAATGGGATGGAACCCATCAAGTGGCTTGATTGATTGACTGATTGTTGCCAGAGAGCAGGGTATGTGTGTTTGTGTGTTATTGCTTTTTATTGTTTTTATATTGGGTGTTTATCTTTGTGAACTGCCCAGAGTCGCTGAGACTGAATTGGGCGGCCATATACATTTTTCTTAAATAAATAAGTGATTAGACATATGATGCTATTTTGGAAAGCTATGCTAAAGGAGTATTTCACTGAAGGCTTTATCAAAATAAAAACCCCAGCACAATGCAGTTGTGTATTATACATAAACTGCAGTATCTTCAGTAATTTTTTAAAGTATATCAAATTTATAAACAGCAAATAACAATTTGTTACTTTATAATCTTAGAAAATTTTTAAAAATCCTTTAAATAATAACCTTAAAACTGGTACATGTGTTGGTAGCCTCCAGGCCTAATGTACCAGTTGTCTACTCTGGACATTTTATTTGTACAGAAATTAGAAGTGAGGTTGGTTCCTGGAAGAACACAAAGAGATTGTGTTTTGTTTGCCAATTTGCTTCTGGGCAAAATAAAAGACTCTACATGGATTGGGCCAAGGCTGTTTGAAAGAAAAAAAAATTCTAGATGAAGCTCCACAGTCCATCTAAAAATGCTTGCTACTTGTTGCTGCAATCTATCTGCTGGCATTTAGGATCAAGCTTTTTATGTTGCTATTCTAGTTCTTTGGAATACACTAGTTTCTTACAGAATTGAAGATACAACTTCCTTATTAATTTTCAAATGGTCCTTAAGTCATCTTTTTGAACAGACTTTTAACAGTTAAATTAACAGTCAACTTTATCAGTAGATATTATTTGTTTCCTATTTTAATTTTTTAAATTATTTTAAATTTACTGTAAAATGCCAAGACACTTTAAAGTTGGCACTATATCAAGTTTAATGAATAATCACTACATAGAAAAATATAAGTGATATATACAATATAGTTTTTCTTCTGTATCATAATAAGTAATAAATTAATATGTTCATCCAGAAATTTGTAATCTTTTAGGTGCTACACAAATGAGCAATAGTTATGGTATTGGCCGAGGACGCAACATGCAAAAGAAACTGAAACGCAAAGATCGTGGAAGAGGAAGAGGGATAAATAAAGGATCTGAGGAAGTAAGTCAAGTGAAAATTGTTTATTGCATTAAAAATAGTGGTTTTTATTAAAGCTGTACATTGTAAAATGCTTTACTTTTCCTTCAGTAGCCTTAGAACTAACATAATTGCATTATGAAAAAAAAGTAACATACCGTATATTCTGGCGTATAGGGCGACCCGGCGTATAAGACGACCTGAGTTTGACGCCGGGTCGCAAGACGATCGACGCCGAGTCGCATGCCTAGAAAGTCGTCTTATACGCCAGAAATTACCTTATTTCCGGCGTATGACAACTCGGCGTATAAGACGACCCCCGAGTTCAGAGGCTGTTTCAACACTCTCAAAAGTCATCTTATACGCCGGAATATACGGTAATTAAGATAAATGTAAGTGATAGCTGCATTTGCAAAATCAGACTAATATAAATATAATCTTGGTGAGCTTAATAGCAGGAAAAAATTGGTTGGAAAACAGCCAGTGGCTGAATTGTCACTTTCATATCCTTGGTACTTTAAAAAAAATAAATTTTATTGTATTTTGATTTTCAAGATAGCTTTTTATTACTTGCTTGTTCATAAAGATGGGATCCTTCTATACAGCTGTACCCAACATTGGTATCTTTTATGATAAGAATTTTGTTCATATATATGTATATATGCGTGGAAACTGGATGTGAGATCAGCTTCCAACTCTCTGACCATCTATAAGGATCTGAAGACCTGGCTTCTCCAGATGGCTTGGGGCTCTAACAGAGGAGCATCACACTAGATGTGGTTGATGAATTAAGAAGCAATCCTATCTCCCCTCTGCACATCCTGCTCCCTCCCTCCCCATCTTTTAACTATGATTATATTTTTCATTGTAATTTTCATTTTTATTGTTTTAGAAATATTTATCTTTTCTTAAAATGCTTTTAATTTTGTAAGCTACCTAGAGTCACTTTGAAATGAGATGGCAGCAAATAAATTTAATAAATAAATAAATGATAAGTTTAATCATGAATAGATATTTTATCTTGTCATTGTGACTGTTTTGTTTTTGAATAACCTTTGAGAAATAACCACATTAAAATGGAGCCTTTGTTTAACAGGAAATGAAGCCAATAAAGAAATGGCCAACTATGAGTCAGGCATTCATAAACCAGCATACGGTGGAACACAAGGGAAAACAAATTTGTAAATATTTCTTAGAAGCCCGTTGTATTAAGGTGAATATATGATTGTACTTTTTTCTTCAAAGAAAGTAACAATTTATAGATTGTATTCTAGTTTGTTCAAAGTTTAAAGTTTAATTACTTATTATGTAATTTTTACCCTGCCAAATCCATTCATATGGTAATCAAAACCCAATGGCCATAAAAATTAATTATATAAAAATTATATCCAGCATTTATTAGATTTGGGGAAACTTTTTGTATATTCAATATAAATGATACTAGAGAAAATTATTGCTTAGAATAATACAAAGATTGGTGCGTATGTTTTGTTTGGTCACACTATTTCTAAAATTTCATGTGAACTTTCATATTTAGTATTGCATATATACATTCTACTAGTTAGCTCTTAGATATTGTTGCATCACTGAATATAGTTTCTTTAGCAGCCCCATCAATATGTAAATGTGTTAATAGAATATAATCTGTTTTCTAGTTTCATAATCTTCATATAATTGCAATTCAGTTTATCTTTTTGATGTAAAATTAATTTTTAATTTTCTTTGGTGGGGTAAAATAAAACAGTATGAAATGTAAAAAGTCATTATTGAAACTTATAATCTGTCTTTACGTTACAGGGAGATCAGTGTAAATTTGATCATGACGCAGAAATAGAAAAGAAAAAAGAAATCTGTAAATTTTACATTCAGGGTTATTGTTCCAAAGGGGAAAACTGCATTTACATGCATAATATCCTTTGACAAAAATGTCTCAGTCATATTATGATCAAAGCTGAAGTGATCATAATACTTTAAATGTTCCATTTATAATAGAATGTAGATGTTTCTAAGGACTAGAGGCTTTATTATTTATGTTTATTTATTTATTTATGAGACTTATATACCCTCTCTAAGCGGTGTACACCAGTAAACAATGTATATATATATTTACATTGCCCCCAACAATCTGGGTCCTCATTTTACCTACCTTGGAAGGATGGAAGGCTGAGTCAACCTTGAGCCGGTGAGATTTGAACCGCTGACCTGCTGAACACAGTCAGCTAAAGTGGCCTGCAGTACTGCACTCTAACTGCTGCGCCACCTCGGCTCTTTAAATATTACATTTAATGTAAAGTAAGTAACAGTTTTAGAAATGTATTCTTTTTTCCCCCTTTTGAAAGAATAATTTATAACAATTTTTAGAAAGGTGCACCAGATTAAAGATACAGCAAAGTAGGAGAAATGATTAATAATAAAACATAAATAAAAGCATTATGGAAAAGCTTTTTAGCAATGCATTCCCTCTTTTTCTTTTATTTATTTCTCTAACCCCTGCTTAAATTTGCTTAAACTTTGTTATGAATACAGTAGTCCTCAACTTACAGTTTATTGTAACATATGGTTAAGAATAAATGCCTGAGGAATTGTGAGAATTGTGGCTGCTTCCAAAGAGGTTGTGGCAGTCATTAAGTGAAGTGCCCATGTGATTCCCTCACTAAACCACAATCCTTACTTTCCCTGTTGCAGTTGTTATGTGCAGCATGGGGTTCCTTGGGGTAGAGGAAGCCCTGGGAAGGCCCAGGCTACTCTGCAACACCTCCCCAACTCACACGTAACCTGCCCCAGGTCTCCAAGGATTTCCTCCACCCACTGAGGTACTTTATGCTCTGCTTCCTGTCACTGGATCCAACAGAATTGGGCTTCCTCTCTCCCCTGCATCATACCAGTCCACTTTCCTTTTCCAAAAATTGCCTATCAGATGGAGAAGCAGCTGAGCTACCATACAACCCTCATATTCAGAGGTTGCATGTTACTGTTCTGGAAGCGGGTGCCATTTTGGAAGCGGCCACAATTCTCTTGATTCTTCAGGAATTTATTTTAAGCATATGTTACAATAAACCTTTTTAAGAAAGTAATACCAAAATTATGGGAATTTCACTAGTATTAAAAGTTATCTTGTTTAGTTTCCTTAATATTTGATTACATGAATTTCCTTGCAAGTTCTATCACACAGGAGCAAAATGCTACCACGGTGACAAATGTAAGTTTTCTCATGATCCTCTAACTAAAGAGACAAAAGAACTGCTTGATAAGGTAAGTAATGCTATCCAAATGAAACTTTGTATTTCAAAATCAAACTTTGTAATAAAAAATGCTTCTAGCTTTTCAAGAAAACTAGATAAGTTGATTGAGAGTCAGTTGCATGTGAAATGCACCTAAGCAACTGAAAAACAGAACTTTTTTTATTCTTCCTATAAACACGTTCTACAAAGCAAGAAATCAGTTTATATATTTTAGTGGAAGATTTTTGCCCTAATCTCTTATTAATATATTTAAGGAGATTACAACTACTGGTACTTAGGAAATCTAATCTGTTTCAAAGTGTTCTCTCTGTTTTTCTATTATACATCAAATACCTAATGAAGGAAGACAGATTATGACTTTCTAAAAAAAGATCATAATATCCTTTAGTTACCATTTTTTGTCTTTTGTAACATGTACGCATAAGCATGTTAAGGCAATCTACAGTCTTGTATGTGAGTTCATGTATGCATATGAAACGGAGGATTTGTGCAAACGTGTGAAATTGGAAGGGAACTATGCAGAAGTTATCCTCTCATACAAAGTAGACTTGCTTATGGTTCTTTGCTTGTGCCCATTGAAAAACAAAACATATTTATATTCAGTTGAACTTGGGGTGAGGGAGGGTAGTGTGCATTCAGCAGGTTATTCCTTTTCTTTACCTCCAGATTTTTTTGGGGGGGGGTATTTTGAATTTGTGATGTTTACTGGAGTATGAATCCACTCTTTCTATGTAAAGAATGATGTGCAATTGTTGAATTCTGATCAAATAGGAAACTACTTGAAAAATTGTTTTCTTATGAAACACCCTATTCCTCCCCAATTAGAACAGAACAGAACAATAGAGTTGGAAGGGACCTTGGAAATCTTCTAGTCCAACCCCCTACACAAGCAGGAGACCTATACCATTTCAGACAAATGGTTGTCCAATCTCTTCTTAAGTCTCCAGTGTTGGAGCACCCACAACTTCTGGCTACAACTCCTTCCACTGATTAATTGTTCTAACTGTCAGGAAATTTCTCTTTAGTTCTAGATCAATTCTCTCCTTGATTAGTTTCCATCCATTGCTTCTTGTCCTGCCTTCAGGTCCTTTGGAGAATAGATTGACCCCTCTTCCTTGTGGCAGCCCCTCAAATAGTGGAACACCTATCATGTCACCTTTAGTCCTTCTTTTCATTAAACTAGACATACACAATTCTTTCAATCATTCTTCATATGTTTCAGTCTCCAGTCCTCTAATCCTCTTTGTTGGTCTTCTCTGCACTCTTTCTAGAGTCTCAACATCTTTTTTTATATCATGGTGACCGAAACTGGATGCAGTATTGCAAGTGTAGTCTTACAAAGATATTACAAAGTGGTATTATATAAAGTTTTGGAACATTCTTTTAGTGCTAAGAATTTGGATGGTGGTCTGTAAAATCAAGCTTAAGAAAGGAATGGAAAGTCTTCATAAAGTCATGTGCTCATTTCTTTCCCCTTGGCCAATAATTTTCACATGAAAAAGTACAGGGTAGGCAGTAGCTGAATAAGAACTGTTTATTGAAAATATTCCAAGTAGAAACTATCCTTTAATGCCATTACTCAGCTTCTGCTATGCCATACCTTACTCCTTTAGGAAAATCATGAAGCAGGAGAAACTGGACAGCGTGAAAATGATCTTTAAAATGACTCTAAGTAGTGTTTGTTTAGTGCTGGTTTTGTCCTGTATCTTCTGTTTTGGGACATGCTGGTGGGGAAAGCTGATTATGTTGTTTCAAGATGCTCCCTCTGTAAGATCTAGTTCAGTGGTGGCGAACCTATGGCATAGGTGCCAGAGGCAGCACTCAGAGCCCTCTCTGTGGGGACGCGCGCCATCGCCCCAGTCCTAGGCCTTCAGCTGGGTTTTATAAAACCTTTTCGCTTTAGGCCTCTGCCGCCATGTACAAAAAAAAAAAAGGTTCAATCAATCAGTCAATTTCAACTTCTCACGGGAAAAAAAAAAGATCATGTAAAGTTGGAATTGATCGATTGAACTTTTTAGTCCCACCCAGTCTGCTATTACCACTGCAGCCACGCCCACCCAATGGGCCACGCCCACCCACTGGGCCACACCCACCCAGCACCTGACGATGTATAAGTGGGTTTTGGGTTGCAGTTTGGGCACTCGGTCTCTAAAAGGTTCGCCATCACTGATCTAGTTTCAAACCAGCTGGATTGTAGACAGAGGTGGAATTGTACTTTGTCCCTTGCCATATATAATTTAATTCATGGGTCCAGTACTATTCTGTACTCCAGTTTAGGCTAAATTATGCGTGAACTTTTATTAAATGTTCATAGAGTACGAATTTGGAAGAAAGACTCCAAATTAATACGTACTGATGTCTTAATGTTGTAGGTTCTACATGTTTTAAGGTATTCTAATTTAATCTGATCTATAAATAGCAGGTATCATAGATTTCAATAAGTGCTTTTGCCATGAACTTCTAAAATAGCTGCCAATAGCCCACATATTCTGATTATATTTTAATGTGGTGTTTTAAGGTACTGAATACTGAAGATGAGCCTCAGAATGATGATGAAAAAGAAGTGGAAGAACTTAGGAAACGTGGCATAATTCCTCTTCCTAAGCCACCTCCAGGGGTTGGACTTTTGCCCACCCCACCGGAGCCATATTCATTTATAGAGGAAGATGCAGAAAACTTTCAGGATCCCTCTGGCGAGTTCAAGAAAATTCCATCCCTCTTTGAAATTGTTGTGAAGCCTACTGTGGATTTAGCACATAAAATTGGGAAAACGTAAGTCTAGGAATTCTTAAAATTATACATTATATTTTAATGAGGAAATCAATTTCAGAAAATGGATTATTTTAAACAAACCTTACAGTAAATGAATTCAGAATACATTACAGTATCTAGTTAGGGCAACTATTTCCTCTCTCACATTTTGTATAGCTGTACAAGTATATGAATTGTAGAATTTACTGTATAGAGTAATCTGGGATTAAAGAAAATATATTGAATAATAGTAATCACCTTAAAAAACACAATTTGGGGAAGATAGTATATTTTGCCCCTTGCAGATTTTTTAGATAGTACTGCTTGTCAATTGTGTTCTGATTTTAATATTTGTACACAAATGTACTTGACCTGGCTTTCTTTTTACAGTCCGCCAGCATTCTATAATAGTACATCGCCCCCTGGACCAGAGTTTGAAGGAAATGATCCTCACATATATAACAGAGAATCAAGCCCAGGACATAATGGACCAGCAGGGCATCCAGGATCTCCTGGTCATCCTTGTATGGGTTCAGTGGTGCCACATAGTCCACCTTTGCAGCCAGTTCCTGCAGGATACTTAGGACCACAAGGTCAAGCCAGTGGACCTATGCATGGAAATCAGGGTGGTCCACCTTTAACACCACCTGGTGTGTCATACAACTGTGCAGTGGGTCAAGAACATATGGCAAACATGCCCAGAGACAATCATTGCCCACCTGGTCCACCATACCAGCACATTCCTAGTGAACGGCAGTCAAATCCTGCATATGAAACTCTTCAGAATCCAGCTAATTTCTATGACAACTACTATTCACATCAGGCTGTGCATAATTTCCAAACAACCAATAATGCTAATGGTAAGTTTTAATTTATAAAATTGTTTCATTTTAATTCATCACTCTAAACTGAACAATCTTATCTGTTGATAGTAAACCTAGTTTTCTGCAAGCATTCAGCATTTAAATTTGAGAATTAAGTGAGGTGCAGACAATTAATTCAAGACATATATGTAAGTGTTTTCAAAATGAACATATTAATAGGAAAAAATATGGAAGGAAAGTGATAATCCATGTATTCTGCATTGGAACAGTTTCACCTCTTTCTAGATTTTTTGTAAATGGGATCTGGAACACCTTAGATAAGTGTATTGCATGTATCATACACTCATAACGTGTGTGTGTGTGTGTTTTCAAGTCATTCTTGACTCCTGGCAACTGCTTGGACAAGACCACACAGTTTTGGTGGTAAGATTTTGGGAAGTGGCTTGCCATTGTCTTCTTCCTAGGGCTAAGAATTATTGACCTAAAGCTGACTTTATGCCTAAGACAAGATATAGAAGTCATCATCTCTCAGTTTTTAGCTTGTTTTTAGCCTGTTGCCCTAAACCAGGGGTCAGCAACCTGCAACAGTGAAAGAGCCACTTGGATCCATTTCCCTCACAAAAAAAAAATCCTGGGAGCCGCAAAATGTGCGCGCGCACACGCGCGCGCACGCGCATGCGCACAGAACACAGGGCTTGATTGAAGAGAGGAGCTTAAGGCAAAACGTGCGCCTGCCCTGCCCCCCATCCAGCTCTGGTATGAACGGGCTCTGCAGTCCTGGCTTCTCTTCCCTTCGGAAAAGACTGCTCTCCCCTCACCCCGCGCTCTCCCTCTCTGGGACTTTCTTCTTGCTGCCTTTTGGCGCGAAGGTTCCCAGGGAGCGGAGGAGGAAGCCGACGGAGAGAAAGAGCTGCTGCAGTGAATGTTCTGAGGCAGCAGAAGACGGTCGCTCGGGCTCGCCTATCTCAGCCTGCTGCAGGAGGCTGGAGTTGAGGCTTCTGGTTTGCTCTGGGAGGGGTGCTTGGAAAAGGGAGGATGGGAAGCGGAAAGTGGGAGAAAGGACGCCTTCCAGCTCTCTGGGGTTCTTTCGCTGGGAGGTGAGGAAGCAGCAGTTCTGCTCCGTGGGAGGTGGGAGCAGGCAGCCTCTCCTTCAAACTTTGCCAAGTGACTCCAGGAGCGAAGCGAGCTACGAGTCCTAGGAATGTCAACTTTGCGAAAGAGGGAGGCGATGGTGGGATTAAAATAAAACGGGGGGGGGAGGTTGAGGAAACCCAGCAGATGCTTACATCAGAGGGCCAGCAAGAAAGGCAGGGAGAGGAAGAAAGCTTTCGGGGCTTGTGCACAGACATAGCGGACTCTTTCTCGTCTCCTGCCCTTGCTGCATCTCCTGTGGAGATCATTTGCAGCTCTCTGTGTCTCTGCAGCTTGCTTCTTGAAGCGATTTCAATCAGCCCCATTCATTGCCAAGAATCCCCATGGAAGTCAATGGAGGTCTGCGGCGAATCAAAAAGCCAGCTGCAGTACCTCCACGTCCGTTGATTTGACCGGCTCAGCGGCCCGGGGACGAGCAGGAACCGATGCCCCCACTGCCCGCCGGGCTTGCTGCCTGGCCTGGGGAAACACAAGGCAGGCTTAGCGCCCCGGGGACGGCCAAAACCCAATGCCCCTGTCGGCCGCACTGCCGCCCAGCCCGGGGAGACGCGAGGCAGGCTCAGCGCCCCGGGGACGGCCAAAATCCAATGCCCCTGCCGGCCGCCACTGCCGCCCAGCCCGGGGAGACACGAGGCAGGCTCAGCGCCCCGGGGACGGCTACAAACAAATGTCCCCGCCACTTGCTGCCTGGCCCAGGAAAAAACAAGGCTGGCTCAGCGGCCCGGGGACAGCTACAAACCAATGCCCCTGCCGCCTGCCGCACGGCCCGGGAAGATGCAAGGCTGGCTCAGTGGCCCGGGGACGGCCAAAACCCAATGCCCCTGCCGGCCGCCACTGCCGCCCAGCCCGGGGAGACGCGAGGCAGGCTCAGCGCCCCGGGGACGGCCAAAATCCAATGCCCCTGCCGGCCGCCACTGCCGCCCAGCCCGGGGAGACGCGAGGCAGGCTCAGCGCCCCGGGGACGGCTACAAACAAATGTCCCCGCCACTTGCTGCCTGGCCCGGGAAAAAACAAGGCTGGCTCAGCGGCCCGGGGACGGCTACAAACCAATGCCCCCGCCGCCTGCCGCACGGCCCGGGAAGATGCAAGGCTGGCTCAGTGGCCCGGGGACGGCCAAAACCCAATGCCCCTGCCGGCCGCCACTGCCGCCCAGCCCGGGAAGATGCGAGGCTTGCTCAGCGGCCTGGGGATGGCTACAAACCAATGCCCCCGCCGCCTGCCGCACGGCCGGGGAAGATGCGAGGCTGGCTCAGCGCCCTGGGGACGGCCAAAAACCAATGCCCCTGCCGGCTACCACTGCCGCCCAGCCCGGGGAGGCGCGAGGCAGGCTCAGCGCCCCGGGGACGGCCAGAAACCAATATCCCCGCCATCTGCCGCCCGGGGAGACACGAGGCCGGCTCAGCGGCCCGGGGACGGCTACAAACCAATGCCCCCGCCGCCTGCCGCACGGCCCGGGAAGATGCGAGGCTGGCTCAGCGCCCTGGGGACGGCCAAAAACCAATGCCCCTGCCGGCCGCCACTGCCGCCCAGCCCGGGGAGGCGCGAGGCAGGCTCAGCGCCCCGGGAACGGCCAGAAACCAATATCCCCGCCATCTGCCGCCCGGGGAGACACGAGGCCGGCTCAGCGGCCCGGGGACGGCTACAAACCAATGCCCCTGCCGCCCAGCTCGGGAAGATGCGAAGTCAGCTCAGCGGCCCGGGGACGGCCAAAAACCAATGCCTCTGCCGGCCGCCACTGCCGCCCAGCCCGGGAAGACGCGAGGCTGGCTCAGCGGCCCGGGGAGGGGCAGGAACCGATGCCCCCGCCGGCTGCTGCCCCCGCTGGGCCTACCGCCTGGCCCGGGGAAGGGCAGGAACCAATGCCCCTGCCGGCCGCTGGCCCCGCCAGGCCTGCTGCCCAGCCCAGGGAGACACGAGGCCGGCTCGGCTGCCCCTCCGCCTGGTGCAGGTAAGCCCCCTCCCTCCTCCCCACTCACCCTCCATCTCCGGGTCTGCTCCTGCTTGGCCCACTAGGGCCGCAGCTTGCGGGAGGGCTGGCCCTTTCAACGGAGGCTCTGCTGGGCCGCTCCCAGCATCGATCCTGGGGCTTCCCCGCGCGGCTCTCTGGCCACATGCACCTCGGACTGGGCCAGCCCCGGAAAGGCCCTTCCTGGCCACCAGGGGGCAGGGCATCTGGCTGCAGGGCCAATCGGGAGCAAGGGGCAAATCTGCATGTGTGTGAGAGAGAGAGAGATAGAGAGAAGGGAAGCACAAGTGCCTCTCTGTCTCTGTCTGTCTCTCTCTCTATGAAAATGGCGGAGAAGGCTCCGGAGCCGCAGGAGGTGGCTCAAAGAGCCGCATGCGGCTCCGGAGCCGCGGGTTGCCGACCCGTGCCCTAAACTATTACATCAAGCTAGATCTTATATTATGTATACATTTACAGTACATTTTCCTAAAGGAGTATATTGCAATGATTCATTTCTATTCAGGAGCCTATCATTTCAGCCTCAGCAAGTAAAATATTAGTCATTAGCTTTCCTTATGCAGAACATTTGCCTGCTTCTCCAGCCCTTTAGAAAGGGATGTGTGCCTGCTTGGCACTGCTACTTTGAATTGAAAAGCTGATAAAAAGTGAAATAATGATGGCTTAGGAATCACTCCTTAAAGACATCTTTGAGAACACTGGGCCTTTTCTTTAGAAGAGCCATTTAAAAAAAAAAAAAAGTTCAGTTTGGTTTAGAGTACTCTAGATACTTTTTCTGCATATCTACCAAGGAGCCCCAAGCTAGTCTCAGTTTTGGAAGAACTATCACACAACTATACTTGATTTTATAGCAGGTTTATTAAATGATGCTAAGTGACTTCGAAAGCTTCATAATAAACACTAATTATTTTTAATATTTAATGCAGATGCTACATGGCAAGGAGACTTTACAGAACCCCAGTCTTACATAAATTCTTCAGATTCACATAACAGTGGAAATGAGTATGAATCAGATTGCGCCACTACAGCAGGACACAATTCGGCTATGAATGTACCTGATTTTCTTCCTGCAATGCAGAAAGCCCTTTTTGTAAGGCTTAGTCAAAAACATCAAGATGATGGAGAACAGATGAGCAATCAGTGTCAAAGATCACTGAGTAGAGAAGAAGGTATTTTCAGATTAAGCATTTGTCAAATATAATACTATATTGTATGTTGTTTCTTTTTCAGATATCGCAATACTTTACTGTATCCTTCCTTCTTACGTTTATTATACTCATTGTAATTTTTATTAAGCTCATCATTTATGTGTTTCATAATCAACTCCCAATTGGTCCAAGCGAAGAGAGTTCTGTGGCTGAATCTCTAATGAAAAGCATGCACGTAACTGTTATAGAACAGTCATACAGATGGACTGATTGATTCCCTCTTATATGTTGGCATAACATTGACTTATATTTTTCTTTTTTTATACATTTTATGTTCATTATAAGATAAAAATAGAAAAAAAGAAGTTAAATTTAAATAAATCCAGAGAGGAAAAAAGTGGTAACTCCCAACTTTTCATTGAAGTAGAATACATACATACATACACATGCACAGACACACGCACACACATATACACATACAAAAAAACTACCCTTTTGCTTTGCATTTCATAACATTTCAAACTTTTTCTATAATAACAAAATCATTCTAATCATTTAAAGTTTGGTTTATTTCAGTTTCAAGCAAAAAGTTCAGAAGAGGTTTCCAAGTAGAAACAACAATAGATAAATTCTCTTTAATTAAAACAGTCAGTTTTACCATCTCTGATAACTCCATCATTATTACTGTCTACTCTTCCATTCTGGACACTAGCGTGTCTTTCTATGAGTCTTTTGCTAATAGCTAACAAAAATTGATACATTCAGAATACAATTGTGCAATACCTCCCATAAATAGTCTGAAATTTTAAAGGATTTTGGTGATCTCAAGACACTAGTGATACTCTTTTTATGCTGCCTTGATTATTTTTATAAATAATTTCAGGCACTGAACATACATAATAGTGCTTCCTTCTATTTTCCCCATAAAAATAATCCTGTGAGATGGGTTGGGCTGAGAAAGAGACTTGCCCATGGTCATCTAGCTCAGGGGTCCCCAACCTCTGGGCCATGGTCCACTAGTGGGTCATGAGTATTTGCAACCAGGCCGTGGAAATGGTGAGCGAGCATGCGCATGCAGATGCCCACTTGCACGAACAGCAGATGAATGCATGCAGGCACACTCCATTTATGTACCCGCCTCTTGTGCAAATGGAGCTGTGTGTGCTTGCTGGCTGCTCACCTCCCCCCCGCCACCAGCCCGCAAAGCTGGAAAGGTTGGGGAACTCTGATCTAGCTGGCTAATCTGATATAATAATAATGTTTTTAAAATTATAGTTTTTTTGTTTTTAAATAAAATAAAATTTTAAAATAAAATGATTTGAAAATAAAGTAAAATTATGTTTTAAATTTGGAGTTATGCAGGGGGTATTCTAGATTTCTTATATGCTTTTAGGACTTCAAAAGTGCTTAAAATCCAGAGTAAGATATTATCTGAAGTTACATAGCCCCAATGTTTTTAAAAAGGCTTAACTTTTGAGGGTTTTGGAGTTGAATTTTGCTGACTACAAGATGAAAGACTATAAAGGTATATAGCTAAACCAATATAAACAACAATTTATATTTTAATAGAAGCTTAAAATTTCATAATAGTGCTTTGCAACTTTTATTCATATCAAATGATAGAATCTTATTTTGGACAATATATATAGTATGTTCCTAAGATTTAATGATCTCTTTTTTCCTTTTAGATGATAATGTAAATTGGTACTCTAGTAGTGAAGAAGAAGAAGGAAGCAGTGTTAAATCCATACTGAAGACCTTAAAAAAACAAAGTGAAACATTTCGAAATCAGCATTCAGCAGATCAGCAGCTGCGTGTTATGCCAGTTGACCCGAGACTTGCTAAGGAACGTGGTTCAGGAAACCAGGCTGTTGATCCAAGACTCAGATCAGCTTCAAGATCAAATGCTAGGAAATCATCAGAATCGGGAGTCTTGGATCCAAGGCTTGCACGAGATCCAAGAACCTTAAAGGGTAATGAAAGCAGTCATGGAAGCTCCTCTACGAGTGGAGCAAAACTGGATGTGCATTATCCACACCCTGTTGTCAAGATCACGCAAAAAGGATTGGATGAAGATGATGAAGATGCTGAAAGAGAGTTAAGAGACAGAGCTTTTCTCATACCATTGGAACCTCTTCCTGGAGTAACATTACGAGATCCAAGATCTCAGCTTAGACAGTTCAGCCATATTAAAATGGACATTGTTCTAAGCAAACCCAATTTTGCTAAGCATATTGTATGGGCTCCTGAAGATTTACTCCCAGTACCTTTGCCAAAACCAGATCCAGTATCTTCAATCAATTTACCCCTTCCTCCACTTATAGCTGACCAACGATTTAATCAATTAAGGAATAGCAAAAGTGATTCTATCCTAAGTACAGTTCCATCTGATCCACGACTAGCAGCAAAAGCAAAAAATAACATAAACTTAGCAAACAGGAGTGGATCTTTGGAGCACTCTACAGATTTGCATCCTGGTAATACGAACAAGTTAGGAGATCCTCGCTTACAAAAATCCACTGACCCCAGACTGCATAGACTGTCCAGTACAGACTCCCATCATGGAACAGTGAAAGATCTTTTGCCTTCAAAAACTGATCCTAGGTTGGCCAGATCCAGCACTTGTACATCACAGTCCTCAGAAGCTTCAGTCTTCCAGTCTGACTCAGATGCATTGCCTCCATATGCGCCCAAGTTGTCATCTGCAAGTTCCAAACTAGGCACCTCTAGTTCAATAATAAGTGGCATTAGTTTGTACGATCCAAGAAATCATACATCATTGGATTCTTCTCCAGTTAATTCAGGAGAGAATGGAGAAAACCAGAAAAAGGGTATTTTGAAAAACACTGGTCAGAATGAAGTAGCCACCTCAGAAGAACAGTTGCCTCAAAAAGCATCCCTGCACGTAGAAAAACATGCGGAAGCATTTGGAGAAACCAATTCAGAGAAAGTAGGTAATCTCAATAAATCTCAGGCTAAACACTCCAGTTCTGCTCCAGCGGTGCACAACCTTCCTATCCAAGCTTTATCAGGGTTAATCAGACCACAATATAGTGATCAGAGGCAAGTAAGGCAGCCTGGGCAGATCACTCCAGCACTAGAAAATGATCCAAATGGGGAATCAGATGACAAATCGCTGAAAGATGTTTTCAAGACTTTTGACCCAACTGCTTCACCTTTTTGTTAGCTAATTGTTAAGATTTTTTACCATTGTGAATAATGCTGGTTTCTGCGGTTTTGTAACTGGTTTACCTCTATGCTTTATTTATTTTTAAATTATAACCAGAAATACTTTGGGGCTGCTATTTTCAGAACTACATGCAGTAATACAGTATACTATAGTGTTTGCCAATTTGGTATTTTCTATATAAGTTTCCCATTTCAGGGATATGAATCATTGATCCGTTTAAATAAAAGTATATATCATGTTAGATCTGAGAGAAGCACTTTCATTGTAAATCATCATTAAGGGATTCAATTAAAGACTTGTATATGTGTAATGTGTCTTTTCAAAATCAACATTTTATGTTTGCCACTTTTGTATGATTGTACAGTTTCAAGCAATATAATGTACATTACTATGAGAAACATTATTTAAGATGACAATTATCTAATCTTCTTAAGCCCAACTTGCTAAGCATTTGACACAGGGCAACATTTTTTACTCCTGAAACTGATATTCTTAGCCTAAAAGATATTGTATTACATACTGAGGAGCAGAAAAAACTTTTTAAAGTATTTTATTCTATGCTGTATATATAAAAATGCAAAGGACATAACTAAAACATTATTGTTAAAATAGAAAACACCTAGGTCTATAAAATGTATTTACTTTTTCATGTATACACTATTCTCTATTGTGTTATGTCACATTGTGGTGTTCATGTATTCAATGTATTTTTGTATTCAGCTGCTTAATTTGTATTGCTTTTTTGTATTGATGTAATGACAGTAACATGTATTCATGTGTCTGGCATTTTTAACAAATTAAAAGAGTGAAATCTCTGACTTTCCACAGAGTCATGTGGTTTCCTTTGACAGTGTTCACTTTGAGAGCAGGCAACTAAATTTCATTTTCGATGTGTGCTGTTTTGCCCACAGTAAAAAAAAGGATAAGGTTATCTTATATGTGATTTCATGAACAGAAAATTTCATGAATTTCTGATGTAACTCTGACTTCTTACGTTGCCAACCACCTTTGGTGAAGACCATTTGAAATAACCTTCTGGCCAAAATATTACACCTGAATTTTCATCTTGCAAAAATCAAAAGCTTCACTTTTGCAAGTCATCAGTGGGCAGCATAAAGTAATTGTGGCAAAGTGATTGAGGAGAAAAAAGTTCATTAAGCAAACTGAATAAATTTGTAAAAAAACTAAGATGCATTGTGTTAGCCAATGTAGTTAACAGCAAATGTCAGAAATTTTGAAATATTCTCCAGGACATCTGTTTCCTCGGGTCTTAGGCATACAATATCATATTTACAGGTTTCTCTAAAGTAAAGAAGATATTTTACTAAAACTCAGTTAAAGTTAAAACAGGCTAATGTTTATGTTAGTTTAGCATTCATGTTATATCAGCATCAAGACTTATAAAACATTGTCAGACCCATCTGAGGCACAAGAAAAAACTAGCTGTCCATTCCAAACAGATGAATGGCCTTTCCATAAATTCTCTTTATATTTTTCTGAGTCAATTATTTTATCATTCATTTCTCAGGTATGACATGTGCCACATTGAAAGTAGCCTGACATACTAATTTCATTCTCAAATCAAAATGTTAGAAACTAAGCAAACCCAAGTTTGATTACTACAGGAAAATAGGCCAGACTGGGAAGTCAACAGACATCCTGGAAAGTGCAAATAATAAACCAAAAACTTGCCAAAGAGGAAGAAACAGAAGAAAACAAAATGAAGAGTCCTTAGTGCTTGTTTTCTTGCAGAGAAGCAACTTAGAACTAAGGAGAAACCTCCTGACAGTTAGAACAATTAACCAGTGGAACAACCCGCCTCCAGGAGCTATGAATGCTCCAACACTGGAAGTTTTTAAGAATAGACTGGATAGCCATTTGTCTGAAATGGGTTGCTGTTATTATTATTTCATTACCTTAACTAGGTAACATCATCATTGCTAGTAAGGAATGCTGTTTGCTGTCAGTTTATATTCTGGTGTCTTGTCTGGGTGGGTGGGGGTGATTTTAGGGATCTTTTGGTTGGGCTATTTACTAATGGCTCTTTGGCCATTTCTTTTGGGATATTGCTTATTTGATTGTTGGTCTGAAGTTGACCTTGGAGTTAATCTATGCTGATCTGAGTGCTAATTACTAGTGGTGATTACTACTGGGTGCTGATTACTACTTACTAGTACTGATGATGTTACCTAGTTAGGGTAATAAAACATCTGAAGAAAACAAACAAGCTCAGAGAGCATCAAGGACCCCTCATTTCAACCCTAAGCTCCTTTATTGAAAACAAAGTGCACATCAGAAAAAAACAACTGGAAATTGCTGAGAAAAGTCTTAAAAGGAACTTAAATAGTTTCATAGAGCTGATGGAAGAGACAAGCAATTTTATTTATTTATTTTATTTATGAGACTTATATACCGCTTTAAGTGCAAGCACTCTCTAAGCGGTGTACACCAGTAAGCAATGTATATATATATTTACATTGCCCCCAACAATCTGGGTCCTCATTTTACCTACCCCGGAAGGATGGAAGGCTGAGTCAACCTTGAGCCGGTGAGATTTGAAGCAATATTACAACAACATGTAAAACGTAAGATGGAAACACATGGAAAAAAACATTAACAGGTTATGGTTTAAGATGTGTTAAAGGATAGGAGACGTGTGATGGCTCAATGGTTAAAGACACTGAGCTTGTCAACTAGAAAGCTGACAGCCCAGGTTGAAGACCCAAGTGCCGCGTGATGGTGTGAGCTTCCATTACTTGCCTCTGCTCCTGCCCACTTAGCAGTTCAAAAGCATGCAAGTGCAAGTAGATGAACAGGCACCACTGGTGGGAAGGTAAGGGCATTCTGTACACCTTGGCGTATAATCATGCTGGCCACATGACTATGGCAATGTCTTTGGATAACTCTGGCTCCCTTGGCCAAGAAACGGAGATAGCACTGCCCCCTTAGAGTTGGAAACAACTGGACAGAGAAAACTTTTATTTTTACCTTATGACATCAGCCTTCAAGACACTTTACAAGATATTTCCAATTTACAGTGTTAAAATGCCCGGTTTTTGAGACATTAAAAAAAAAAAGATGAAGATAAATCACTTTGGAATTTTTTCCATCTTTAATATCATATATAAATTGTACGCTTTAACTGAAAAACAAACTGAAATCTTTTAGGGGAAAAATAATAAAAATGTACAATAGCGTGGTTGTGTGAGTGTGCACTTGCTTTAATTCTTTCTTGAAAAACTTTTTGATTTTTATGACAGCATTCAGTCTTTTGTCATCATGACACATCTTGCCTTGGAATCTTTGCCAAGATTTTGAAGTGATAAATAACTAATGCTTTAAGGATTAACCATCAGCAGTACAGAAGCATGCAGTCAAGAAATATGCCAGAGTGGTACTTGGTAGTGCAACCATGAAGATTTTGGAGAAGAGATTCAGATGCTGTGATGTGTCTATATCTACCAAGATCAAGATTATGCAAGCAATGATATTCCCTGTGACATTCTATGTAAGCAAAAACTAATGAAGACAAAAATAAATGATCCTATGGGTTATGGAAAGCAGAAAACATGTTAACATCAAGAAGCTCATTTCTTCAAGTACAATCCTCTTTTAACAACTTTGTCCAAATCCGCTTGAACTGTGGAGTTCTTGGTGCTCTCTTAGCTTGCTTATTTGCTTGCAGATGTTTCATTACCCAACTTGGTAACAACATCAGAGAGCACCAAGGCTCCAGAGATCATAGGACTTGGCAGTCAATAAATCTGGAGAGCAATCAGTGGGGTGAAGCTGTCTTAGATAACATGTTTCCTTACTCATCCAAACTCCCTATTTTAATGCTAATTTTTTAAACTGTGCTTTCATTTTATACTTTTAGTAATTTCATCATACAAGCAGACCTCACTTAGTGACCAAAATCAGGATCAGCAGCTCTGTTGTTAAGCATGGGAAATCATGTGACTATGTTTCCTTTTCCCTACTCTTCCACCCTCTAGACTGCTCATCCCACTGCTGAGATAATTAGCAAGAAGGGAATGTTTCTAGTTACTTTAATTGGAGAGAAAAGGATTATAAGAGAGTAAGAAGGTATACAATGGGCATACACATTGAAAGAAATATGGCTAGAGCCATGAGTACACTATGCAAACAGCCAGGCGTATTCCTGATGGTGTGCCAGCTTATTCTCTTGTAATCCCTAATGCTCCACTCTACCAGAGAGAGAAAAAAAAACAGAGGGACAGGACAGAGGGCAATATATAGTGGCAATCATGTGACTGAGGGACGCTGCAAATGTTACAGATGCGGGCATTGGTTGTGAAGTTATTTTTTCAGCATCATAATTTTGAACGATTGCTGAATGAAAGAGTTGCTAAGTGAGGACTATCTGTATTTAGAGGGACTAGACCAGCGGTTCTCAACCTATGGGTCGCGACCCCATTTGGGGTCGAACGACCATTTTACGGGGATCGCCAAACAACGCAATCCGCCATTTTTCCCCCTCAGGGGGTGCCACCGCGCATGCGCACTGCGCATGGGGGCACTGCTGCACATGCACACCGTGCATGGGGCACCGCCGCACAGGCGCGCCGCGCATGGGGCGGTGCCGCACATGCGCGCCGTGTGTGGGGCGGCGCACATGTGCGGCGCGCATGTGCGGCACGTCCGTGTGACCGGGGGTCGCCGTATAAAAAGGTTGGGAACCGCTGGACTAGACTATTTACTGCTATTATAATAAAGTTCCAAGCTCACAGAGGTGAAAGTGGGCTGAGCCACAGTCCTGTTTTACCAAGTCCCAACTCCTCTTTGTCCGAATTTAAACTTTCCTTGGCCCCATGCCAACAAAGACTCTTCCTCCATTGGCTGCAAATTGCAGCTGTATTTGATTCTTCTGAATCAGCGAATGGATGTTGCAATCCCTGAAGGAGGGGAAAATCAGAAAAATGTTCACAGTTTTAATACTAAACAGTTCATGGCAAAATGTTTTAGAATTACTTGTAGTCCTCAATTTACAACAGTTAGTGGCCATTCAAAGTTACACAGCCCTGGAAAATATGACTTATGACTGTTTTTCAAAGTTACGACCTTTGCAGCATCTTCATGATTATGTGATCAAAATTCAGATGCTTGGCAGCTGGTTCATATTTATGACCGTTGCAGTGTCCCCAGGGTCAAGTGATCACCTTTTGCGATCACCTTCTCATAAGTAAAGTCAATGGGGAAGCCAGATTCACTTAACAACTGGATTGCTAACTTATAAACTTCAGTGAAGTTGGTAGTTAATTGTTTTGGTTAATTGTTTTGGCACACAGCAGTTCAGCTGCACATCTTTCATCTAAGCAATTCTTTGCAATTATGCCAGCAAATTTCACTAGTGCTTCCCCTCCAGCAATAACTTGAATAGCAATGGCAATGACTTCCTCTTTGGTCTAAATAAAAAGTAGTTACAAAAAAAAACAGGAGTGAATGAACTTTATCTAACTCTCCATTAATACATTTCTACTGAAGAACAGGTCTATGGCCTGAAGCTAGTTTATGATATACTCCAACAGTATACTCTGATCATGTGGCCAGGATACTGCATTTTCTGATATTAAAAACAAACAGTGACTTCTTACATCTAGAAAATAGGATACACCAACAAGAAGAATAGGCTGAACTACTCTTCATATGAATTCTTCATATAAGAGGCAACAGACGAAATCACATAATTACTACACAAAAATTCAGCCGGAAAAGTCCATTACATAGGGTTCTTGATGTAGGGAAAATAGGAAAAGGGAGCATATATATGCTGTCTCTTTTTATATAAAAAAGTAAGATATAGGCAAA